TTTTTTTTTTTTTTTTTTTTTTCCTATGTCTCGACCCTCCGCCCGTTGTGGAGGAGCTGGAATGCGCTCGTTTCTCCAGCTCTCCATGTTTCTCACCGCTATCGTATATCCCAAACACGCAACTGCCGGAGTGAATCATCAGGCTTGGTCTCTACTTTGAAGTCTATGCCCAGCTCCCTATGGTGCGAGGGCAAACCCAGAACATTGGAGCTCCTACCCCAATATTGATCTTGTAGCCGCCTGCAATCAGACAATGCTTCTTGATTTTTCCATATACAATCCGCCAGGAAACTCTGATGGCCACACATCAGTTCGCATATGCTCTGTTTTCAAAGATAATTGAGCCATTATTGCGTATGTATCGAAATCTTCCAAATCGTTTTCGGATGAGGAAATGAATTTCCAGCTCGGATGGTGGAGACCAGTTGTCTCTCACGCATCCGCAAACACCAGGGACGCCGTGAGCGAAATCCAGCAGACCTCGAAACATCCAATAATGGCGTTTCTGAGACTCTGTTAAGTTACTCCGGAAATGCACTCGTTGGAATATATGTCGGACATGGAGTCCAGCATGCTGACGTTGCTACTAATGCGGTGCAAACGTTCCTCGAGCATATCAGGTCCCAAACAATTACCGATCGAACAGCCTTGCAATACTGCGATATCAATGCGAACAGGAAATTTGGATTCGTCTTGGACACTTCCGGCGACTTCTCAGCAGTGCAACAAATTGTACGGAATTGGAATGAGGCAAAGTATCAAACTCACTTCGATCGTTCGAAGGGTCTGTCCAAATCAATATTGCACATGGTCGTGCCTCCAAAATCTTCTAACATGGCAGTAAACAGGAGAGCACATGACAAGATGCATCGCAACTCTCCTTCTCACCATGGTCATTCACACTCTTGTCTGCGACGAAGTATTTGTGATACTGCTCAGGTTGCGTCTGGTGACTCCTGTGAGACGTTGGCCAAAAGTGAGATCTCCGGTCTCGATTTCATCAAGTACGACTCGGATGACAAACTGTGCTCAATGCTGCAGGCTGGCCTACGTGCCTGCTGCTCTGTGGGCGATTTGCCCGATGTTTCCCCCAAAGCCCAAGGCCGATGGAACCTGCACGACACACCTGGTCCAATGGGGGACTCGTAATTTAAGCTGGCCGCCTCCAACGGCATCTCAAAAACGACATCTAGGAGTACAACAGAAAATATTTGGGACTGGATGTAGTACGATAACCCCTAGGCACAGCAGAATATTTGTCTCAGCTCAGATGACCCTTCTATACCAGCCATGATGTCGAACGCTGTCAGGTTCCAGGAACAGAAAAGCCAGCCAATGGGACTAAACTCATTGATCTCAATTCCTGTCCGATCAACGCCTGCTATGATATCTGGGGCTAGTGTGGAATCACCTGACTTCTGCATTGCGACCAACTCCCCCACTGGGGCACCTAGAACGGCCGCCAATAGCACTAATTGGTGCATCTCAAACTGTGGCACAAGTATTGTCAATAATGACAAGGTCCCGGGCGAGTTCATCAAAATCGGCTATTCTGAGGCGATTGTTTGACCATGGGCATCACTTGTTTGCATACGGCCGCCTACGTTCATATCCATTTCTCCTTCGCCACCGTCACGAATGACTACCAAGTCAATGTAACATTATCCAGGACTAGTTTGACAGGCTCAAGCAAATGGGGTCCCTCAAACGTATTCCTTCTTTCGGTGGATGGTCGTCTTCGACGCCCCAAGATTCCTTTCTCGTCTTTCGCAAAGGAGTGACAGACACCAACCGAGAGCAATTCGCAGACAATGTGGCCCAATTCATCTGATATCGATAGCATTGGCTTCAACTGGAATATCCTGATGCTTTTGATACCTCAGGCTTCCCGCCGGCGACCCTGGTGATGGTGGCCGGTACCTTGACTCCCTGAAGCTGGTTCGTCAGAAGCTGTCGTCTAGTAAGGCACTAGCGATTGTTGTATCCGCTTCTTATTGGAATTTTAAGAGCTTTCTGATTGGTGAGATTTCGGACGTGGTGGACTATATTGTCTACATGACATGCGACTTTCATGGTCAGTGGGATTATGGGAACAAGTATCCTGATCCAGGCTGCTTTTCCGGTGCCTGCGCCAGTCCCAGGTGAACCTGATCGAGACCATGAGTGCTCTCACTATGATCACCAAGGCTGGAGCTTCGTCATCCAAGGTGATCGTTGTTGTAGCCAGTTGTGGCCGATCCTTTCAAATGACTACTTCTGGATGTACTGGTTCTATGGACAAGTATACTGGACTTGACTCTGGTGCTACGTCTGGTAATTGTACCAAGACTGCTGGTTACATTTCCAATGCCGAAATTGACCAGATCATCGACTTGGACAATGACAATACTACCCAGAAGCTTTTCGACGCAGCCAGTCACGTCAATATCCTCGTGTGGAAAGGAGAGGATTCCTCGGTAAACTGCCCAGCATCATGCGTCCTTGTCCTTCCGGACTTGCCTCTCAGCACGAGTACCGTGATTACTCGTCCGCCATAGACAATGACCGGTATCTAAAGATGACAATTTGACGTTTCAGCCCGAGCCACGACTTCCTCCGCAGGTGGTGACCATCACTGATGGTCACAATTCACTCAATGAGATAGGCCTCCTTCATTTCAAAGTGGCGCGCAAGATCACCCTGCCTCCTTACTCACAGGCCAGCTATATATGTTCCCAATGATATTGATGACGGAGAAGATGTCAACGATGACAAGGACAAGGACAACAGCGACAAGGATGACAATAACCAGGACGACGACAACCACGGCAGCAATGGGAGCGATTACAATGATATCTTTCTGAAGATCCCCAAGATCACCGTGACCCATGGCAATGGAGGACCTGAGTGCAAAAATGGACGTGGTAATCTTTGCACTGATATCTTCTGAAACTGCATGTTCGGCTGTGGATGTAGCGAGAATGACGGCCTGGACACAGGTTTTGCGAGCTCTATTGACCCTAGCTCACCGCTGAATCATAATGTTGAGAATGAGGGTGATCAATACAACACCAGCTCTACCTATACGCCATCCTGTTCCAAGCCTACGGCTAGACTATTAGGTCTCTTGCACTCCCCAAGGCACTGCCTCCATCTCCTGCATTATCATGCTATTGGTTGCGATGCCACGGTAACAACTAACACCACTGACTTCTGAGCAGCGGTATAATATGATCTCGACGACCCAGATCGTAAATGGCCCTGCTCGTCTATCCAGTTCAATACGAAAGCCATATCAGGAAATGTTCATATCAGGGACTTTCCGTCTATTTGGAAGTTCACCGACGCACTGCATGGATACACTTCTTGCACGTATACCAATTCTGCCTCCTCTTCTCGTGCTACTGATACATTTGAGTGCCCTGGCTTGCCGTCGCCTGTTGACTGCCCGCCCATGGCTTTGGGCACCGGATCCTGTTCGTCTAATTTCGACCTGATGTCTTACCAAAAGCTATTTTACTGTAAATGGTAAGCACTAGTCTCTGTGTTATACGTACTTTTTTTCTTAAAAAAAAGAAAAGAAAAGAAATAGAAATTACCAAAATAGATATTAGGAAGAGCCTTTGCCGGGTATAGTTCTCATGTGATTAGTATGCCTTGAATACGCATGAAACTTTTACACTTCCAGCACACCAAGTAATGACTCTAAGGGGCTTTTTATTCCACGATCTTGCGCAACCAACTTGGCCTCCTTGCCAATCTCGGCTTGCAGCTTCCGAAGCGCCACAAGCGTGAAGTCCATACTCCCGCTTTGCTTTAACTGCTCCAACACAATGCGCTTGTGGGCATCTGAAACCTTCCCTTTCTTTCGCCGCTGTGCCAGTATGTTGCGCAGGAGTATATTCTTTTCTGGTTGAGTTTGCATGGTGTGGATGAGCATGAGAGAATACTTTCCCTCGTCTAGATCCTCGCAGAAACCTTTCTGCTGAGTGTACTGGAGGGGTCGGGAATGTCAGCAACGAGTGAAATGAATTAAATATGGATAGCACCTACATCGATGGAAGTGATGTTAAGGTAGTCGTCTCGAATCTGAAAGTATCGCCCCAGAAGTGTCATAAGATTAGTTAAGTCGGGTTTCGTCTTCGAGGTTGACATGGCTTGCATGAGCCTGGATACCATGCGGAACAAGCCAGCAGTTTCTGCAAATGTCAATTGTCGGCCGCTAACAAACATTTGTGATAATAGAAGACTTACTATAGTCCACCATCTTCATATACTCCTCCATAGATGGACACGTGAGGCTGAATGTCCAGAAGAGATCATAACTCTGCCCGATGTATAAGTTCTCCATCTCCTCTATTATCTCTAACTTTTAGGAAATTCGCCCAGTATCATTGTGAGGAGCAAGACATGTGTGCTCACCGTGAAATATACGAGTACATTCGGGACTATCGAGCTTGCTAACCTCCTTCAATGCCTCGTTTACCCGGTAGCCAGCAGAGTTGATGGTCTGGGCACAGCCAAAAACGGTGTGTATTGATACTTGACCGCGACGTAAATTCGACGAATCTTCTATATCATCGAGCATCAAGGAGGCCCCGTGTAGCAAGCGACAGATGTTTTTTATTACCGCCAAGTCTTGTCCCGGAACCTGGAGCCAGAAGCTTATTGCATCTATCGTCTTCCCTCGGATACCTTTGGACGATTGAGAATCAATGTAATGTGACGGGCCATCAATGAACTTTGTGTGCTTAGTTTTGAGCCACCGGGAAGGGTGATGGATAATTACTGACAGCCTTTCTTAGAGTTGGAAGATCTCGACGGAGGACAACACAGGGATCGTTGAGGCGATGAAGAAGCTGCGGGGGAGAGCTAAAGGGGTATCCTAATGCTTTCATTGTGGCAAGCTGCAGCTGATTCGGTTCGCAGTCAGGGTTGTACCGTGGACATTGCCAGCCCCAGATGAGATTGCCGCTGAGCATATACTGCACCGCTTCAACAAAGGTGCGTACAGGCTGAGAGATATCTTGCCTGACTTTGTTGTACTCTAGAGTCTGGACGAACTCTGCCACAAAAGCTTTGATCTTTTGGCAACACCGTTGCTTCGCTGTCTCAGTACTTATTGAATGCTGCTTTATCAACCACCCAATTGCGTTTCTCAGCTCATGGTTATCGTGTGCCTGGGCTATCTTGTACTCCTTGTCCCAGGACTGGAGGTCATTAGTAAGGCTAGCCGCACCCCAAACTGGTCGAGTCAGCTTATGGCATATCTCTTCCTCCTCTTCTTGGACGACGAGGCCCATGGTAAAGAGAGCAAGTCCAGTCAAGAACCTATTATCTGCAGTCAGCCCCCAGCGGCCATCGCATCTCGTTGACATTACAGGGCCAGACCTCACCAGGAACCACAATCCATAATCCTGTGCTCTACATAATCTTCGAAATCTTCGAAGTTCGTCCGTTGGCGGTTACCACCGCCATACTTAAGGTATTTTGCCCAGCATCTCATCAATGACGTTGTTGTTTTAGGGTCCATTACCATCATTTGCTGGACCATTCTGCTCTGCATGAGTTTCCCCCCAGAAGAAGACTTGGCCTACCGTTTAGGTCTTCATTAAAAGCGTCCACAAGTTTGTAGGTTAAGTCATCTCGCTGCTCTCAAATCAGTCCACGTTGCAAAAATCACCACGGTATACTCACATCGGTCTCTCCCGGCGGATCGACCATATCATCGTGAATGAACGCAAATTCTATCGCATACGAAACAATCTCAAGACGCTCTGGAAGACATTCAGGTAATGCCACTGATGTAAAGCCGTACTGCGGGCCCAAACCACCGCAGCTTGCAGAAGTGGGTGGAGGCCCTATGTACTCGCCCCACTCCTTGTGCAGTCTGATAATCCCGAGATCCCCTACAGCTGCGTTTCGGTGGTTGCGGACAGCAATTCCGTCGCACAGCCCATCTGTTCTATAATTCGACGGGTCCATCAAATACGAGAAGCGGTATTCCATTCTCAAAAATGATATAGTGGATCAAAAGGTAGGTGAACAAAGTGTGACATTCAGAGAGATGAAATACTGTACCTCCTGGTAGCAGATCATGCTTAGAAGAAAAGCAACGTCTCTATGTACGGGACTCCCTATTCTTTATATAGCAGTCTGACACCGAACATGTATGTGATACAGCACAACCTGTTGCTCACCCATATACAAATTCACATGTGGCTAATGTAACTCTAGGTGGTAGACCCTGACTTTAAATAAGAGATTTAATTGGACTAATGATCAACATTGCACCATATTTCTACGGTTGAATCGGTGGGGAACTCTTCATCATGGCCGTTTGCCCTTCCTGAATCGGAAGAGTAAGCTGCAAACTGTCATGGAATGACTCGGCGCCCAGTGCTGATTTCAAGTAAGGAAAAATGCACAAAAAAAATCAAATCAAAGAGCATATCTTGACTCAATCGATGTGGCAACCTCGAACAATATGAATTTAATGGTAGACTTTCTATCAAAATACTAACATGGAGAAGGAAAGAAAGAAGCTGGGCCTGCCGGCGCTGCACTATCTAGTGTGCGAAGGGGGTTCCTGCCCTATATTCAAACAAGCCAAAGTATACAAACATCTTGCGTTGTTGGTGGATGCCCGTACTCCGTGACAATCAGCACACCGAAGAACCATGTATCGCTCGCATATGACTGTGCCAACCTGGACGTACATCCAAGTGATGGATCAGGGATTACAGTGTTGAGTCGAAATCTCGCGCTAATCTCCATGTGAGATGTATGGCTGTTGCTTCTGGGTGAAGTAGAGATATTCCTTGGCAGATATCCTCCACAGCCGCCGAAATGTACATCAGATCGCCCTTATACTTCGCCCTAGCGGAGCGGTCCGAAGCTGTCTCATTTTAAGATCGATAAAAACATTGGCGTTCTGCTTTTAAGGTTGTCCGGTTTCCAGGACCTGAGCAGTATTTATTTTGACACTGACTAATGTCACAGCATCACGGCAGGAAATCCTGATTTCCTCGCACTCACGTCTCTCGACCACATGATTGCCAAAATCCACCTGCCCTATATACTGCACTTCAACGCAACAAACAGCAAAGCCGCATTCAATACCATTAAGGATGGCATAAGCAGATTAGTCGCTCATATTCCATGGTTAGCAGGAGATGTGATCTTGCGCAGTGAGCCCGATGGCCTACAGGACAAAACGGTATATTGCTTTTTCTGGCTCCTCACCTGAAGCTACGCCCATGCTACGAGTCAAGTGTTTTGACCATGACGAAGATCATGATGTGTGTCCAACCTGAGGGTATTTTCCTACGCCATGCTTCAAACTAGCGTCGCAGCAATGTCCGGTCCTCCGGTTTCAAGCAAATGTCTTACGAGCAGGTTTGTTCTGGTTATGTCCTTCTCGAATTTTTTGTGGTAGCACTGGTGCCGGGACGATCCTGGAATCTCTCGCGCAGTACTGCAAAGCGACGAATGGTGGTGCAAATGTGACCGTTGCGGCCAACATTGCGGAGACCGAGATCGCTCTCCAGAAGGATATTTCATCATGGCCATCCCTCGACTGGATCATTCTCTTGGGATGGGGCCGTCTGTATTATACTCCACTGCAATTCTGGGAGTCAGTATCGATAGAGCCCAGCATCCGATGAGAGCAAGGAACAATGAGAATGCCAGAGTTACTATAACAGTTGACCTCCGAAGGCGCGTCCGCCTTCCCTTCCGAATACATATGTTGAAAACACGACTTTTCCAGTACGAGGTGACATTTACCCCTCTGGAACCACCAAATAGCATTTGAAGATGCGTAAGAGATAGATATTCTTCGCCTTACACAGGATGTACTCCAGTTTAGGAATAAACTTGCCTCAATAAACGAAATCCCTGCGTACTGTGTATCCACGCAGGTGTTGGCTAGGAAGACTTGTGTGGGCTTGAAGCAAAGCCAGGGGATGTTATTGTGACCAGTTGAGACATCTTACGACGTTTAGTCTCGATTTCGATGAGGGACTAGGTAAGGTTGTCGATTTTGAAGCAGGTATGCCGCCTTAATTCCTGGGGCGTGCATTGTTATGCCGTCGAGGGCTTAGGGGAATGAATCGAGGGAAGAGTCTGTGACGCCTTGGGAAGTTTATATTACCATGAAGCCGGTGTCACAACCTGGCTTCTCTCGTATCGTACCTAGGGTTCTAGTTAGTTGTATTTCGAGACAGGACACTTATCCTAAGTGTCTTCCAAGCACTCATATGCTCAATGACCATCCAGGTCCTCTGTATATCACGTCGAAGGTATATCGCCCCCTCCAGGCTCCGTAAGATAATCAACAAGTAGAAACGGTAAAGGTAACGAATAGAGAAACAAGGCCAACCGAGCACGTATGCTGGGTTGTTGGTTAAGTGCGGACGAGTCAGAAACTAGAAGGTAACCAATGCTTGATTAACTAGATTGATTGCGAAGAACTAAACTGAGTACATGAATGAGTGTCTTTATATATCTTCCGTTCTCCTACCATTCTGTATACCATCTAGGGTAGATAGATGGTAGCATATACCATTCCGTATACCATTTATGGTAGATAAATGGTAGGGATCACGTGACTGATCCTTTGGGTTATCAGCTGGAATCCCTGTTCCTTCTGTATTTCCATTATTCCTTGTAACCCAATGATTCTGCCTTGTCTCCCCGCATAGTCACGTGAGACTGATGTGGCTAGGTCTGTAACAGCCGGATGATATTGGTGTTCTTATGGATGATCCGTTCTTCAGAAACATTGTTGCTTAGATGCCGACATATCAGCTCCAGCCAAAATATCAATACAGTCTTCCTGTGTCCCTTTTGAGTACCATGATAATAACACATGAAAACGACAAACGTGTAATAGCTATCGCCATAAATGTAGAAAATGCCAAGATATATATAGAACACTCCACAGCCAAGACTTCCGATCTCAACCTTCTTTATGACTTCATACAGGGGACTTAACAGCATTCGAACATACACCATCGGAACATATCTAAAGACCAATCCTTCCCCATTCTCGGTCTGCATATAACGATGGCCGTGAGACGCTCAGCGCGTTTGAGCGCGGCCCCCAGCAGTAACCCGCCCTCAGCAATCCAACAACCCAAGATCAACAAAGGCCAGCAGAGAGGGGTTCGCAAGGCACAAAAGCCAACTACCAAAACAAAGAAATCACAAAAGACCTCTGCTGGGAAATTTCCGCCCGCAGAAGCCCTCCAAGTTGCAGAGCCAACAGCAACAGCAACACCACCAACAGCAGCAGCAGCAGCAGCAGCAACAGACCCAAACGATAACACCTTTAACCCGTTACTACCCACTGATAGCATTAGCAGGATCCATTCCACCCCTCCTCCTCTCGACCGACCCGTCGAGCCACACAGAACGAACGCAACCCTCCTCACACCCCATGGGTCTTCACTAGTCGCCTACTCGCCCGGGACGGAGCAAATCTCGCCCAGCAAGGCGGGCCGGCCCCGTCCCACAACCACGACGGGCACACTCCTCGAGAAAGCCGTCGCGCACCTGATCGCTACTGATCCGCGTCTCAAGACAGTCGTCGAGAAGCACCCATGTCATCTATTTTCGCCCGAGGGTCTGGCGGAGGAAGTCGATCCTTTCCGAAGTTTGGTCAGTAGTATAATCGGACAGCAGGTTTCGGGGGCAGCGGCGAAGTCGATTCGAGATAAATTCGTGGCGCTGTTTAATTCGGATATAGAGGATATTACTCTGCGGACGAAACGGTTTCCAACGCCAGAGGAGATCATCCAGTATGATATTGCTACGCTGCGGACGGTGGGTCTTTCGCAACGGAAAGCCGAGTATATCCAAGGATTGGCGCAGAAGTTCGCTGCTGGGGAATTGAGTGCCCGGATGCTGTTGAATGCTAGTGATCAGGAGCTTGTGGAGAAGTTGACTGCGGTCCGGGGATTGGGGTTGTGGTCGGTTGAGATGTTTGCTTGCTTTGCTTTGAAACGGATTGATGTTTTTTCTACGGGTGACTTGGGTGTACAGTGAGTGTTCTTTAACCGATTATCACTAGCAGAAAGCCAACAAAAAGTCAGGAGAGGCTGCGCAGCATTCACGGGCCGAGACATCAACAAAATCAAGGCAAAGGGCGGCAACGGTAAGTTCAAGTATATGCCTGAAAAGGAGATGTTGGAGCTGGCCGCCAATTTCTCTCCGTATAGGTATGACCCCCTTATGTGCATAGACAAGGTGGCTTGGATCCTTCTAACATGTCACTATAGGAGCCTTTTTATGTGGTATATGTGGCGCGTGGAAGGCGTGGATATTGCTGTGTTGAATGTTTGATGCGGTACAGTAGTAATTCTGAACGTAAGTTACTCAGATATTGGGTTGTAGCGGACTACGCCATGTATATAATTTGCATCTCTGGAGACCTTGTTCAGAGATGACCATTGTGCAGTACTTACGATTACCGCAATACCATGAGTGGGACAAGAGAACAGCGAAGAATTGATTTGTACAGTATCAGTACACGTAACTGAATGGTTCGACGAGAGGCCTAAATGGTAACCGGCAACACCAATTACGCAGCCGAATTCCAGACCCAGCTTCCCGATCCTTCATACCACACCCCTCTAGATAAACATTGTTCTTTTTCTTTCTATCGTTTGCTTTTCGATGAATGGGTGGGATCGTTTATCGACGGACAGAGAGAGTGTCGAGGTCCTCACGCTCCTTGCGCTCCTTCTCGATCTCACGGATGATGGGGCTCAGGTACTCAACATCCTATAAACAGTCAAAAATTAGCGTCTGTGCTCATTCTGAAGCATTAGCTCCCCTTGACAACAAGCGCAGGAGCTGTAATCCCGATATAATGCGGGTTACAAATCCGCGCCACGAGATTGGTCAATGGGACCTGACGTAGGAGGTGGAGGGAAAACGGCAAGCAGGAGCTTAGAACATGGAAAAATGAACTCACTTCAGAGGGCTTGGTCTGCTCCTCGGGGGGGAGAAGGGTGTGCGAAATGGAGCACTGTATTAGACGAGCAAAATAGTTAGGTCATGGGTGTTGTCGATGGCAATCACGGACGGCTGGAACGAACCTGGAACGCTCTGCGGATGCGGAAGACACGGTCGTAGGACTCCTTAGCAGAAAGACGCTTAATAGCAGCCTGAACGACGTCGTTCTCCTCGGGGATGATGTCGTCGAACCTAGCTCCTGTCAGTACTACCCCAGTGTATGTGCAAGACAAAGTCCGGACAGGCGGAGACTGAAACAGGACAAAGGCGAATAGGTCGGTGTGTCGTAATTGAGACGAATCGTTCCAGCCATGCCGCCTACACCAGTGCGTCTTCCTGGATATCGCAGCAGGGTAACTTACCTCAATCCAAGTCTCCTATAGCCGGCCGCGTCCATGTACCACTCAGCGATGGGCGTCATCCAGCGCTTGAGCCATGGGCGCTTGACAATGTAGCTGGTCAGAGAAGGGGCGGACATGGTGTATGATTCCCGGGTCAACAATTGACGATGTGGAGTGGAAGGGGGTTATCGCAAGAGGTCTCAGGCCGGGCGTTGGAGATTGTGCAAAACGGACGTTCGGGCGGGCGACTTTCTCCGTTTAATGCCTGATTTATGCCTGATTTATGCCTGGGAATTAAGGTATTTACTCCGACCGATTCCGATGTACCGCACGTGATATTAACATGCTAACATGCCTCAGGCTGCTACACGCTTGGAGCCGGGTCCTTGCTTGCTTCCCGCCTCCACCTGACCGCAGACGACTTCGATCCTCCTTCATCTGCGCTTATCCCGGTCTCCCACATTACTGTTTCCGCGTGCTTCCCTTGCTTGCCCTCGCCATCCGTTGTTTCCCGTTCCGATCAAAATTGGCGTCCTTACTGTGTTTCCGCACCTATTGTTCATGTGTGTTGGCATGGGGATCGTCAACCGTTGAATTCCGGATTGCTCCTCGATGGGAGCTGATATTTAAGGAACCCCCGCCCGTCTGTTCTTAAGATAGTACAGACGTCGATATTCGCAACAGAAAAAAAAAAAAAAAGGCGATTTTTCTGATTTCCTCTCGTTTGCCGTGTCAATTCGATCCTCCCACTTTCCACCCCGCCGCACGACCGCTTTCTCCAACGTCACAGCGCAACGAGTCATACGATTCTTGGTTTCCGGAACGAGCGCGATATGCTCGGGTCCGGGGGCCATCGGTGATATAGAAATCCGAATAACCTGCTAGGTCCGTGGTTGAAAATATGTTGTCAGAGGGCCATGGCAGCTCGGGAGCTTCGAACGGCTCCCAAGAACACCCAGAATCTCACGCTCATCCTCCCTCATCTCATAACACATTTACCTCGAATCTCCTTACTCAAATCAGAATATTTTCTACTAATATACCGAAATCCTATATTACTCCGTTTTGCGGAGCAAGTGCTGGTGTAGCGTCGGGGATTGTGACGTGCCCTCTCGATGTCATCAAGACAAAGCTACAAGCCCAAGGTGGCTTTTTGCGGCGATCGGGGAGTACGATTGAGGCAAGGACTTTATACCGCGGCATGTTAGGCACAGGAAGCATGATATGGCGGGAGAATGGTCTCCGAGGGCTCTACCAGGGACTGGGTCCCATGCTTCTGGGATATTTGCCTACGTGGGCGGTTTACTTGGCAGTATACGACCGGTCACGAGATTACTTTGAAGAAACCACTGGTCAGTTTTCTCATCTTTTGTTGAAATTGGGGGCGAGTTTTACTAAAAGATTACAGGTAGTTGGTGGCTATCGAGAGGTTATGCTTCCGTCACGGCAGGCGCGTGCTCGACCATAGTGACAAATCCAATATGGGTCATCAAGACACGGCTCATGTCTCAAAGTCCAAGGTCCAATAGTGAAGGCTTTAGGGCACCATGGCAATATAAAAATACGTTTGATGCGGCTCGCAAGATGTACTTAAACGAAGGCATTCTCTCGTTCTATTCGGGGCTTACGCCAGCGCTTTTGGGATTGTTCCATGTGGCCATTCAATTTCCACTCTACGAATATCTGAAGATGGCCATTACGGGCTATGGGATTGGAGAACATCCCGAACATGGCGACTCCCACTGGCTTGGGATTTCTCTCGCTACATTCCTCAGCAAAATTTGTGCCAGCACCATGACCTATCCACATGAAGTGTTGCGGACAAGGCTTCAGACGCAACAACGAACAATGTCGCCACGGTCCTCGGCCGAAGAGCTAACATTTCGTGAAGGGACAGAGAAGTTAAATGGTCGTGGTCGTCTTGCAGGTGCTGCCTCGTCGGATGGCATGCCCAATCGGCCGCGGTACACCGGCATCGTTCGTACCTGTCAGACAATCTTGCGGGAAGAAGGCTGGCGTGCATTTTACTCGGGAATCGGCACGAATCTCTTCCGTGCTGTCCCGGCCGCTATGACTACGATGCTTACATATGAATACCTCCGGAAATTGATTGGCACTATGCAGCATGACGGAGAGATGGAGCGTCGGCAGGTTGAAGAGAAAGATCTCTCCGGGATTTAGCTCGTCATGAATGCTCTATCAGTATCTGCCAAATGAGTGGCAGCGAAGACGATTTTAAACACAAGCCCCAGGTCCTTTGCCCGGTCAAACTGACGGACTTTGGATACTTGCGAGACTTGCCATTTTATATGCTTAACAGTTGATAACCGTGTACTTTTATGGGATTAAAGGTTGATCAAAAGGGGACCTGGATGTTTTTACCCTTGACACAAATTGATACCTCTATTGCGAGAAATAAAAGGTATCACTCCTAGAGGAGATCCTGACACATGCAATCGTGCCTCTTGTTTTAGATTGGTGGTTGTTTACCCTGCCTTACCGAGGAATCCTTTTGTCTTTGATGAGCGTTATTGTCTATTCGTCTCTGTTATATGTTATCCTTGTTCTGCATGGATTGCATGTTGTGTACATACATATCTACGTACCTACTACCCCATAAAATATACATACCCGCGATACTTTCAATGAGCCTGAATGCCAGTCAGGGGACAGGTACAGCCCATATGGCAAATGACGTCAATTATTAACCACGTGACCAGACTTGGCAGCCCTTGTCTACCGAGGGAAAAAAAACACAACCGCCGCCAAACAGACTTCCGCACACATTTGACTCGACAATTGGCAATAATTATGTGATGCCATTCAGGTACGTGTCTTGCTTGATGCAATTGAAACCGCTGCTTTTTCATTACTGTGATGAACCTTATATATCCATGATCCAAGTCTACTATTTTCGGATTTTGGATGTGATCATATAAACACACACTGAAAATTCTGACCGTAATGAAATGCGAGATGCAGTTGCTTTTATATTTCTGATTTTATTCACCTTGCTGACTTTACTTGCAGATACAGAATGCACGACCATGGTGATTCATAGGCTTCTAGCAGATAGTTACTGTACTCAGAAAATTGACATTGACTTCATTCTCCACGTGATATCATAATCCGACATCCAGAAACCGGATGATCCTCAACTTTTTCTCCTCTGCTCCACTTCTCGCTGCTCCTCCAATGCCTGGTGCACCCAGGAGAGTTGCTGCTGCTGCCGTGTCTCGGATTTTTCTCGTTGCGAGGCAGGAGTGTATGTAGACTGGGATTCGCGACGGGCGGTGCGAATGGAAGCGATGCAGTAGGAACAGAGGAGGACGGCCATTGTAAATGCGGCGATGGGGGCGTTGAGGGACTAATAATTATTAGAAGTACATTATTATCAGGACTACATGTGTTGCGTTGTGTTGTGAATCAGCGAGTACCACTGTACAGGATGTAGGATTATCAGATGCGGCGTATCGGATGGATCAGATAAGGAATCACAAAGAAAGAACTTACGCCCGCTGGCCTCCCCAGAGTCTTTTTGTTATTCATGATAAGCGCTTTCGGCCAATGGGAGGGCGTAGTTTGCCGACGGAAAACGTTGCTTGGTAATGGGTTTGGTCTGGCTGTGAGTTGGCGAAACTGTAAGGAGGACGTTTTCGATGTCGGAGGCTAGAATTCGTCGGAGTTGGGAAGTTCCCCGCCCACACAACTATGAGTAGTCACTGTATTCTCCAGAGTACCCCGATACCCTTGCACTATGGAAAAGATTACTATACTAGGAATAGAGAACAATGATATAACTAGCAATGAGCATCAAAATACATACACCCTCAACGTCATAAATTATTAACCCCGAGTCGCCGACGCCGGACGTCCGGAGGCGACGGGGTTTCCGCATATGGTTTAGTTCAGTATGAATAATCCGGGCGAGAATTATTACTGCAGTCCTAATCAATCGCCATCCTTCTTCAACGACATCATTTTCACCACTTTCAACTACACCTCTACCATCCATCGATAATATACTATAGTCACTTGTGCAGTGATCCCTTTACAGTTTTCACCATGTTCAAGCGTATCGCTACCGTCGTCCCCCGCTCCTTCGGCCCTGTTGTGACGCCTCGCATCACACCCGCCCTCTCCGGTGTGCAGCAGACACAATCCCTCTTCCGGGCACAACTCCCTCAAACAAGGAGCTATCATGAGAAAGATATGTCGCACATCCTCCCAATAACTAAAAAAGAAATACTGACCACATGCACTGCTAGACCACTACAACAACCCCCGCAATGTCGGCGCCATGAAGAAGGGTGACGGTGACGTTGGCACCGGTCTCGTCGGCGCCCCCGCCTGTGGCGATGTCATGAAGCTTCAGATCAAGGTCGACAAGGACTCCAACAAAATCAGCGACGTCAAGTTCAAGACTTTCGGTTGCGGGAGTGCCATTGCTAGCTCGAGTTATCTGACCGAGTTGGTCCGTGGGATGACCCTTGATGAGGCGGGTAAGATTCGCAACACCGAGATTGCGAAGGAGCTTTGTCTTCCTCCTGTGAAGTGTATGTCCTCCCATATATATATATTTATATATTGCATATATGGCTTGTGCTGACAAGAACAGTGCACTGCTCGATGCTTGCCGAGGATGCTATCAAGTCCGCCATCTCCGACTACTACACTAAGAATCCCAAGGCCGTCAAGACTGACCTTGGTGGTACCGGTGCTGCCATTCCTGACATCCAGATTGAGGTCGAGAAGACCTCTGCCACTGCCTAAACAGAAAATTAAATTAAAAACCGACAAAAAAAAATTCTCCCCTTCCCAAAAATGTTCGACTTGTGATACCACCTGATATGTCCATCCTTTTCATGGCATGACTTCTTTCTACTTCGGCTGCGCTTTGCTCGAGTGACAGGATTCAAGGTTGAAGGAGGTTTCTTCGATTCGTTTCTGACAAATTGAATTTGTTGGATGTATATTTTTTCTATTTTGTTTCCTTTTTTTGTTATGTTAAAACTTTTTTTCTTTTTTCAATTTCTCTTTCCTTTTGGGCGAAGCATTGTGTTATAGTTCTCGGAGCTATGGTATCTTATAGTTAATGAAAGAAGCACCGAGTGTGCCTAAACCAGATGTTTAGTTTTATACAGTGTGCACTGAAGTAGAGTATGAAAAGACCTCATTAAATACAAACGCCATCGCTGATGCACAGATTACCCACCCGTGCCATATAAACAATCTATCTATACTATACTTTTCTGTATCCAACCATTCCTTCACACATAAACATTATCCATCTCTATCATTACATCCAGTATACACAACCCACAGCAACTTTACAACATCCCCACTCGGCTCTTAACAGACAGCACGGTCTCATACACCGACAACTTCAACTCCACCCGCAAGAATCCCATCCACGCAATCAGGAACCGCAGGAAGTTCAGTGGACGAAGAAGTCCACCGGCCGACTCGCGGATATTCTCGAGTTGTTCCTCGTAGACGGTGCGGGTGGCGTAGCGGGCAAGGATGAGGAATGTGTGCAGGGGGCCTTGGCGCGTGTGTAGGTTTTCGTCGAGGTTGCGGGCTGTCTCATTATCAGTATACACCATATCACGACAAGGGTGACGGAAGAGGAAAGGGGAACGTACTAAGATCATTAGTCTTGAGAATCAAGAGGATAATTCTCGGAACTTGGCCCAACAACTCAACTAACTGCTGCAACATGCCCTCACCCAACGCACCCGAGATATTCTCCTTTTCATCCGCCGTCCTCGAAGATGCCACATTCCTCTGCGTAAGAACCGTATAATCTCGTCCTGTAATCGCACTCGCAAACAACGGAAATTGCTCATCCGTCACCCCCGCAACCTTCCTTGCATACTCTCTCATCCGTCCCTCATCGGCTTCAATAACCGCAAGCCAGAGCTTCGCATAGTTCCTGCGCAGGTCCCGCGGGATCTCACGGTATAGACCGTGGTCGTAGAGGATGATTTCGAAGTTTGGGCTGCTAGAGTTTGGGTTTGGGCGGATGGCGATATTACCGCCGTGGGGGTCACAATGGAGCGGCGCGTTGTCGCCGAAGATCATCTCGTTGAAGATATGGGCTAGGGTGGCAGAGACTTCGTCGCGGTCGATGTTGTTGGCGTCGAGGAAGGGGAGGTCGTCCGGGCGGCGGCCGGAGATGAAGTCCATTACTAGGATGCGTTTCTGGGCCCACATCACTGTATTTGTTAGCTGGTATACTGTAACGAAGTTTGACGAGGCTTACCCTTTGGAATAACCAACGGCGCATCAGAATGCTTCTTGAAATAGTCGCTTGCTTTGGTAGCATTCTCCGCCTCACAGCGGAAATCCAACTCCACCGGCAACGAAAAGTCCATCTCCCTCGATAACCACTCAAGATCATAGTCCGGGAAGAACCGTTTCAGCATCGCAAAAGTGAACCTCGTCAATGCCAGATCCAATGGCACCCACTCCGCCAACGCTGGATGCTGCACCTTCACAGCAACCTTCTGTCCTGATTCTCTAAGCGTACCGATATGTACCTGCGCCAGGGAAGCAGCGCCGATAGGCTCCGAGTCGAAAGATGTAAAAATTTCATCGATGCGACGGCCGGTATCGGCAAGGAACATGTCCTCAATGGATCCGATCGATGAAACGGGACATTTATCCTGCAGCGGGATGAAAGTCGTCGTCCATTCGAGCGGAAGCAAATACCCCATGCTACTCAAATGCTGTCCCAGCTTGATAAAAATAGACCCATTCTTCTCGAGTACGCGTAGCGTCCGTTCTGCACAGCGCTTGTGACAAGCTTTGATAATCTCATTGTGTTCTTCCGGCGAGGAGGCCTCTTGCTTCAACGTAACCCGGTAACTAGAACAAACCCAGGCGTATAAGTAGATCTCCTTTAGTAGTAACTTGGGAGACAGAACGAGCTTACTCATTAATGCAAACCGCCAACGCACTAACCACTCGCCCGGTTCTCGCCGCTGCTCGATATAGATGCCGCACCTCGTCCGAGTACACTACCGCCGCCACACCCAGCACGCCTCCAATGATAAGGTATATCTTCTTCCGAGAATGGCCATGCCCCGATTTCCTCTCCCCATTGTTGCCGTTGCTGGCTTTTTCTTGTGCAGGGGGCTCCGAACTATAGTGACGTCGTAGCGGCAGGACTCGCCTCCGTGTGCATAGTTCCTGCGGTGTGGTGATTCTGTTCTTCAGACTGGCGAATGATCTTGACGACGGTATTGACTTCGTAGTGGTAAGTGATGTGGAATAGAAACAATTCAACGGTGCCGGTGCCGATTTCGTCGTGTGCCGGAGGACCGTCGCAGGGTTAAACCCGGAAACTCGCCACGGCGTGCGGAGCGCTGCTCTCATACCGAACCGGAGGCGACGGGGCGTCAATGAACAACGGTGTGATTAGGTGTGATATTAGAAAATTGCCGTACCTGTTTGGGAGTTCAAACCCAGGCCATTGTTGGATATAGTCGCAAGAAACGCTGGTCGGCCATCAGGAGAATTTCGGGAACTCGCCGCAGTTCGGACCGGCGATGCACGTGATCCAGGGCTCGGTTGGACTACTCTACTATTATGGATGTCCAGTTCATGGGTTCAGTGTATTCTCTATGTATGACCTGTATTTTTATGCAAAAAGAATATACCCATTCAACTTTAATAACGCTCAAAGCAATACCAAAAGACCACCCAAAGTAAACAGAATTATAGACAACGTCACGTCAAGAATCAAAACCAATCATGACACCCAGTCCTCTCCATGTGTAGGCCGTCGTCGCCGGTAAAGAATCGAATCTCGTCGAGATAGCGAGCTAGGAGGTCGCGTTCCGTCTTCCGGTAACAAGTCTGTATGAGACCGCTTAGGGAGCCCAGGTATCCCACGAGGTAGTCTGTTCTTCGGTAGCCCAGAGGCACCATTCAGATTCAATCCAGGTGGTGGTAAGACAGGACTTCCGCCTTCCCGGCTGGCGGGTCGCAATACCAGCGCTGAGCCGCTAAGAGCGTTTCGCGGATGTCGTGACTCTCGTCCTTCGTAGTATGCCTTTGACTGGCTTGTTCGAGGAGTTGATGGAGCGGATTGATTTGGTAGAAGACCGGGGGGTGTGGTGGATGTGCTCTGGCGTCTCACGCCTGGTTTGCGTTTCCCTAGGCTGTACGTCTCGCTCGACCTGATCAGTTTCCCAGCCATGTCTCGAACCAGGATGGCAGGGTCATTCTCTAATTCGCTGATGGCACCAAGCAGACCATATGCGGCAAGAAGACCGCCTTGCTCTTCACTAGCGTCGCAAATACTCGATATTATGCGGAGGAGGTTCAATCGAACTGCAGCCTTGTTGTGATGCAGTTTCTGGCCTAATCTCGTGAAGAGATCTGGTCGTGCAAGTGTCGAAGCAATAGGAGGACTTAATCTTAGGAGTTTCTGCAAAGGTTCGAGAATGTTCTCGAAAGCGTTCGCTTTGGAGATAGTTAAGCATCTGACAACCGAGTCCGTAAACGATGGCCTGTCCAAGCGGTTTTCCAGCAGGTGCTCTTCGACTTTGGCCGTTTCTTCCTGGAGCCAAGTAAAGATAGCATCCAAAGCGGTAACCTGCCAGTATGGATCGGAAAGTAAAGAAATATAGAAGGCGAGACCCTTATTACGCCACAGCTCACGGCGACCGACTTTGCCGGAGTGTGCCATGTCACAAAGAATCGGTAGAGCGAATTCCTTCAGAGGTCTGTCAGTTTTGACAATCTTTTGAAGCAGAGGGACAATGCCATTCAAGGCTGCATCCTCTTGTCGTGACTTATTCAGTCGACACATGTTGTAGATCGTATTCAAGATTTGATTGGAAACTTCCCGGAAATGGGGACGCCTGAAGGTTGAACGCAACAAGTCCGCCAGCACGTCAATGGCATTCGAGTTCTGAAGGGAATCAAGAGTAGTCGAGAGCATCGACAGGTTCTTGATGAACTTCAACATAGTAATCTGGTGAGCCGGGGTCATGCGCCGCAATTCTTTCAGAACCCGATGCAGTACTGTCCGTTCAGCAACCATCTCCTTGACATGATTCTCAGCCTGCGAGAAGATAAAGAAGATGTTTGCAATCCGACCTTCAACAATCTCGGCCAGTTCACCCTCTTCATCCAACACCCTGCTTAAGACGAGAGAAAGAGGGTCTAAAACGGAGTTGCGCGACAAGATCCGGCAAAAATCATTTTTCGGGGTCGAGCCCTGCAATTCAAACACACTCCAGATTCCGTTAACCCCGATCAGGACGAGTTCACGTTCGTCCTCATAATCGTCTTCCAAAAACTCAACCAGAACGTTCAAACCTCCAGCACTGACAAACATCTGTAACGTAAGAGTGGACGTCTGATACATCTGTTGTACGAAAGCCGCTGCCTCAAGTCGAATCTCACGAGGGTATTTCTTCGACGCAAACTCATTAATGATTGGAATGCCTCCAACAAAACACAAATTTTCCTGAATCTCATAGTCATTAAAGATGATTGCGTTGACGATTCTCAAAAGACAGGCAATAACATCACGTCGACGACATGTATCCAAAATCTCCAGGATCGGGAGCAATCCATGGGCACTCATGATGATGTTCTTAGTTTCTGGTAGGTCGCAGAACACCGTCAAGAGTTGGTCGGAAATATCAGCCAGTACCTCTTCATCTTGCGATGTCTTCAATGTGCTGACAAGTCCCTCGACCTGGTTCCGGAGTCGAGCATGCTTGTCGCGTGCGATATTGGCCTCTAGGTCCATCTCGTCGAACCCTTCTTCGAGTTGGGCAAATGGGTCATCCTCATCATCTTGATCACCGAGCCAGGATCTATTAGATAGCTTCGAGGTCAGCATTAACGTGCTCTTATCTGAGGCCCCATCACTATCAGGCTTATCCAGTGTCGACTCATTAGGACCCAGGATATCGGAAAAATCCTCATCGTTCTCATTCTCCGCGAATTTTGTTATTTCAATGGCACGATGACGCTTAACTGAGATCCGTTTCTTCAGTTGGGGCTGTGGAGGTTCTTCGTCTTCCTCAATAGTAGTAGGCCACTCATAACGGACCATTTCATGTGAAGGAGACGGTGTCAGCATATTGGTTTCACCGTCAGAATCCTGTGAACGGTTAGTTTACATTTAATACATGCATAACTCTTGATATCAAGAGCTTTTCCTTACCTGAAAAACACCAAGCTTTTTATCTAAAACGTCTTCGTTTGCCATGATAAGGTCAGAGTAATCCTCAATGGAATTCTCCTTGTAGTAAGAAGCTGGTCGAGGCTGTCGCGCTGGCGGCGTAGGATTCGGGTTCAAGATCGGGACATCATGCATGCCGGGTTGATAGCGATGCAGTTTTTGGGTTGTACTTTGCCGCTGAGGTGATGGTCGTATAGTCTCCAAGTCTGTCTCGCTATTATTCGAGATTCGCCAAAGATCATCTCCAAATTCTTCGAAACTACCCGACGATCTGGTCATTGTCCCATCAAGGGAAGCAAATGCCTTGAGCTTCTCAGACGATAGCAGGCCGCCAAAATTATCGTGCGGTCTCAGGTGTGGTAAATGCAGAGCACTAGGGGAGATGGCGTTATCAAAGTCGTTATCCCAGTTATCATCTGCTCCGGAAACAGGTGACCGAAACTTGTCTGCAAGATTTCCCCTGGAGACTGGGGTTGGCAAAACATCCTTCGTTGGTGTATAACGGGAAGGTGTTAGATTCTGGTCAGGCCTCAAATGCTTACGCATGGTACCTGCACCAGGCGAGCGAAGAGCCTCATTCCATTCCTGGACGCTCTTGACAGCCTCCTCATTGGGAACTACTGAATCAGACTTGCGAGCGTTGACAATCCAGGGGTGTCGAAGAAGCTTCCTCGCAGACACACGAAGGTTGGGGTCTTTCTGAAAGCACTGCATAAGGAAGTCGTTGACAGCTGGGGAAGCTCCTTGTGGCAAAGGAGGATGATCATCATTGACGATGCGAAATAGAGCCGGCATAGGTTGAAGGTTGTGGTATGGAGGCTTCCCCTCCAACAATTCGATGACAGTGCACCCAAGGCTCCAGATATCTGACGCCGTGCTCGCCCCTGTAAGTTCGATGACTTCGGGTGCCATCCAGTATGGGGTACCGACAACGCTAGCCTCGTTGAGACCGGTTGTGCGGCTAGCCACACCAAAGTCCGCCAATTTCACTAGGCCTTCTTTGGTGGTGAGGATGTTAGCACCTTTAATATCTCTATGTATCACACCTTGCTCGTGCAGGTATAAGAGACCATGGAGGACTTGGGACATGTAGAGTCCGACCAGATTCTCCGGGAAGCGGCCAAAGTTCTTTGCGATGGAGTGTAAGGAGCCATTTTCGCAGTATCTAAACCATTAGTATGAAACCAGACAAGAGGAAGAAAATCGTACTCGAGTATGATGTTGAGAGTCTCAACAGACTTCACAAATCCATGGTACTTGACAATGTTGGAGTGCTACAATATATCAGCTTCGGTTCCTGGGTAGGAAAAATAGCATTGTGCCTCACATCCAGGTTCTTCAAGAGATCAATCTCCAGCTGCAAACCCACATAGTTAGTGGATATACCTTGACTGTCTGGAGCTGAATAGCATACCATAATCACTCGCAATTCACTCTTGGGTAGATCCACCAGCTTGATCTGCTTGACCGCGACAGTCTCCCCAGTATTCCAGTTGAGTGCTCTGTACACAGACCCAAATGCTCCTCTGCCCAAGCAGTCACCCAATTGCTTTACGATATCAGACCGTCAGCCTCCCATCCTCTCTTGTCCATATGGGGCGCAATAAAGGGAGGGGTATCCCGTCTCCATACATAATCCTTGAGTTCCGCAACATCCTTAGCCGTCGTCTTCGGTCCCCTATCATCTCTGGATTTGTCCTCTCGTTTGGTAGGACTGGAGCCGAGTCTCGATAGTCGTGGTTTGGTTGGTGTCCCGGGCGGTGCTGCTGCTGCTGCTCTAGAGGAAGGACGTTGTGGTGGTGGTGCCTCGCCCAGCTCGCTGGTTCTAGACACCATGATCGATCTGTCCGTAACAGATTCGCTGTATCAAAGCCGTTTGGTTTTGGGTTGTGCGGGTTTCAGATTCGACGTTGAGGGTAGTAAATAAAGGACGATGCGGCAGGAGCCAGGGGATCGATCGGGGCGTTCATGTCAGCAGAAACTGGTCAAGGGGTGATTTATTATTAGCCCATTATTCGCGGGAGAAATAATAATTGTATGCGAGAACACAATAGAAGCGCCCACGGCGATTCTTGGGGGAGAATGAACGGTTTCGCTCGAGGGACAAAAAGACCATACAGGAAGGATTTCTCTTGCCCGCACGCACAACACACGTTGCGACCCATCGAATAGTGCCTTGATCTTCCTCCAACGGTTATGATAAAAGTAATAATGCGATTAATGGGGCGACCTGGAAGCGACAGCGCAACCGTCCAGATTGTTGCTGCTGTTATTGTTTTGACAGCGACCGAACCAAGGGCGGTTTCTTGAACTTTTGCGCTTCTCCACTCAAGCCGGTTCGGAGGGGCTTCACCTGAATCGCGCAGCTTGTCTCTCCGATCAGCCTTGTTAGATCCGATCTATGAACTATATCAACGGTTGTATTAAGAGGAAGTTGTTTGTATATACTATAGTATGTATGTGCTCGCATGGATTGCCGCCGCCAATAGCAGGGTGGTCCTTGTTTGGCTGTGGGCTGTGGAGCAATCCATAGTCGGAGCGCAGAACGAGATAAAAGTAGTCATGGAGTTGTCTATATTTCTCTACTCGTACACACACAAAACCTAGCGGGGTATCTCTCAAAAGCAATATTCCTAGCACGTCCCTCTCCCTGATCCGACAGATGCCTGTGCCTCGCGCAAGAGACGAAGAACGTCCGATGCCAGATAAAGGCTACCAGCAATGACCAATGGTCCACCATTGGCAACCTCGCTAGCCCAATTGATCGAAGCGGGTATGTTCTTGCCAAAAGCCTTGACTTGTTGAATCTCTGAGAATGATTGAACGCACGTAGCCAGTTCCGTAGGGTCCACTGCCTTCACCCACGGCATCCCGTCCACAGGGCCGAATGCTGTGGTTGCGACTTTATCTCCAGGTTTAATGAACGCACCGAATAATTCCGCCAAATCCTTTCCCCGTGATGCTGCGATAACCCAGGTAACGTTATTCCGCTGAGGACGGAGTTTGCGCTCCACGTATTCTCCGAGTACTTGGGCCGATTGAGCATTGTGGGCACCATCCAGCAAGATAGGTTCTTTACGGGCGATTAATGGTTTGAGTACAATTCCTTGTAGACGTCCAGGCCAATTCACTTCCGATAGGTGGGGAAGCAATGAATCAACATCGAGTCCTGGACGTAGTTTCGGCAAAGCGAGCTGGATGGCCGAGACAGCGCAGTACATATTCGCACGCTGATGGGGCAAGAGATCCAGTTTCTCGAATATACGAGCCAAAGATGGAGCCTGGATTTCGACCGCATCGGGGTGTACAAAGTCTCCTTTCAGATCCAGCTCCTGTATACGGCTTTGGAGCGTCGTGATAACTTCCGGGCAGTTGGTGCCATCGACCACACAGGGAATATGAGGCTTTAGAATTCCGGCTTTTTCGCTAGCAATCTGTTCAATGGAGTTTCCAAGCAGTGCCTGATGGTCCAGTCCAATTTTCGCAATAACGGAAACCAGCACATTGCTCAGAATGTTCGTCGAATCCAGTCGTCCACCCATACCAACTTCAACCACACCGACCTCAACCCGCTCATGGTTGAAGATCTCAAAAGCCGTCGCAGTCAGAAGTTCAAATTCGCTTGCCCCAATCCCCAGTATCTGATCCCGCAGCTTTACCTCTTCCTCGATCTGCCGGAACAGAGACTCTTGCACCACCTTTTCATCAATTGTAATACAATCCCACCGGTCGATCAAGTGAGGAGAGGTAAAACGGCCACATCGGACACCCCCGGAGGCCAGAAGACGAGACACATAGGCGCTGATTGAGCCTTTGCCGTTAGTCCCGGCGATGTGGATGGCCTTCCATGACAGAGGAGTCTGCTGGAGGAGGCGCGATATGCGGCTAAGTCCGAGTTCAATCATTCCTCTGGGTTGGTCGATTTTATTGTTCGAGTGAGGAGAATATTCATGATCAGAACTAGTTCGGATCACTGGAGATTATAAGATAACGCTTCCTTTTTATCAGACATTGCACTTTTCTTTTCCCGGTGTTCTGACGTTATCAATTCCGCGGGAAAGATGTCCTATACATGCCTGGATTTTAAGGTGTCAATAAAGACAACAGAATGTTAACTGACTTGTTAACTAGATTTCTGTACAGAGTAAAGTCTACCTATATACATGCTTCACTGACACTAGCCTGCCAGTCAGAGACTCGTTTTTAATACAACTCTCAGAACGAGCGCACCAGTCCCAATAAGCGCACCAGTTTTCTGTAAACCGACGCTTTCCACCATGCTATAAGGCACTCCCACAGATCTATTTACAATAGCAATGGTCACCGTTTGATAGATGAGATAGGATCCCGAACTTCCCAACCATACTAAGACCCATATATAGCCGACAATCCTTTTCATTAACATGAAACTCAAGCTCTGTGGATCTGTAGGACCTGGTAGTTTCCCGCGCAAACTGTTCTGGAACGCCTCTTCAATGAGGACACCAACTCCCGTAAAGAAAAAAAACACAGGAGCATTAGAGTCCCGAAGCCGGATACCCATGGAGAAGCTACCAAATTGGTGGAGCAGGCTGGACAGCATAAACACAAACATGAACGTCATATACCGTTTATATCTGGAAGGCTGGGGTGATCGGACAATGCTGTGGGCAGCAAAGCTGCATACACTTGTGAACGGCCAACGAAGCAATTGATGCCAGAATTTACTTTAGACACATTAGCTGTTCATGTTTGTTGTTCTCTTTTTGCGTCAAAGTAGTTTAACCCTGCAGGGCAACTTACCCCCAAAACAAACTGAGTGTGTATGTATCCAACATACTCCCAAACATAGATGGCCAGTCATGAGGAGCACTCAAAAATGTAGCAACACAGAAGACCGATAACGATCTATGAATCAAGTCCAAGGATAAACGTGTCACAAGAAAAGAGCCAACCATCTGCGCCACAGTATTCATACTCAAAAGGCCATCAGGCACATCTAAATGCGACAAATGTCTGCCTTTCGCCCAGCGTTCATGAGAGTCATTGAGTAAAACGTCCAGTACGAGATATTGCCAGGCCATTATGGACAACTGTCGAACAAGGAACTTTGCGCGCCCAGGTTTCCCCGAAAAGAAAGACGAGAATTGAGGTATATTCCTAATTTGCCATGGCGAGTTTATACCTCTGGGATTAAAGGTCATCTCAAGAGCAGACCAAATGCGCCAAAGGATACCGGCATGGCCATGTGGTTGCTTCCGGTGTGCGACAGTCTCGCCATCAAGACCGTTGACCAGAAGTATGTTTATGCAATGGACTGTATGAACGAAAGCGAACAAGTTTATATACAACTTTTGAATGCAGTCCACGCAGAGCTCATGCGTTTTGAGGTGACATAGGTATGTGCTATATACCAGCCACAGGCTGTAACCGACGCGAAAGGACGAGCCTTTAGGTGTCGTACATATGACAATAGCTGTTTGAAGACATTGAAGAAAATAGAAAACTGGAGCCGGTAGAGGAAAGACCGACATTATTAAGTCGTACTCGTGAGAGTGTGTAACACTCGTACCGGGTATCAATAAAGACTTATAAGGCTGAAAGAAGAAGACATGACATCGCAGAGCAGGTGGTTGGAATTCCCCCCGTTCCTGCTTATTAATGTTGAGTCACTTGTGCCGATTTAACCCAATCTACTGACTCGTACGTGGTCCGATATATACGTGTCTTTGTAGCTGTGCAAAATAATAATACGTGGTGAATAATAATGCCGTCTGTCCGTCTCAACGGTCCCGAGCCACCACTTATGGTTCCATTAAATAAGTATGAACAAGCGAACCGTTGGATGGTCCTGGCTCCGAGCCACCGTTGACTAATGTCTTGGCATTAGCCACAAGTGTCACCTGCCACAGTACCAGCCACCTCCAGGGGCCTCAGGCGCAAATCTCTTCGCTGCCTTCGCCTCCGCCTTAATCTCTCTCCATCCGGCATCTGTCTCTCTCCAACCTCCCACCAATCCTCCCATCATAGTTCCACTCTTTTCAATTTATTTAAAATTCGCGCCTGATTCGGTGTCGCATTGCCTAGAGGATCTGGCTGGCAGCTCTTTCCAGTACTCCGCTCGTTAATTTCATCTTAATACACCATGGGTATCCCGTAAGTTCTCGCGTGCGCTGACCGGCGGCTTGGTCGCCGCAACGGCGTTCAGGTAAAGAAGACTCCGGCCACCATGCTTACTGTGTCTTCCCGTGCAGAATGTATCGTGAGCCTTCAGCTACCGAGGCTTCTAAGAAAAATGCGATCAAAGATCCTTCAGCTGCTGCGCGATCGGCAATTCGTCGTCAGCCCACTAATCGCCGTCCTTCGCGCCATGGAACCTTCCGCGGCGCGTCTCATCGCTTAGACCACCCCAATTTTGTCAATTCGATGTTTTATGATACTTTATCAGATTGGAATGCCATTGAACGCGCGCGCCCCAGCCGGAGTATAGGCGAAATTCTTGCGCGTGAAGCGAGGGAATTGGAAAGTTTATCGGCAACGCCACGGCAAGACGAGTCGCCAGATTTACTTGGTGGTCCTACAGATGCGAATAGACAGGAAGCCGGTCAGCGCTTACTTGCGGACGCTGCCCGTCATAGTCAGCCCGGCCGGCGGTTAAGGATCCCTCGCGATACCATGTTAACTGAGACAATCAATCGTCCGTCACCCGGAGATGGCCCGAGAAATCAACAGAGCTCAGAACACCCGCCTTTTACACCGCGCTTTGCTCCGGCTATAGCATATCATAGTGCTGTTGCATCACAGCCTAACACTCGCCGTTCACCTTTCCCCGGGTTGGATATGTCAGGGGATCTGGGGCTGCCAAGAGTCCCGCAATTGCGGAGAGCGATCGAACAGTCAATCAGTGATTTAAACCGGCCATTTAGTGAACCATCCATCAATGGCCTTGGAGATCGCCAGCGAAGCTTGAGTCCGGATGATGATGATCATGCACATAACGCATGGGAGACACTTCTTACGACCATGACGCCCGATACCAATCTCCCCAGCAACGAGTCCTCATTCGCATCCACATCAGCTTCTACCACAAATGCTTCAAGGAGTGGAACTACGGCAACTTCAACCAACTCGACGCAGACACTGCCGTCTAGCCTGGATTCCACTACCGCAAATGTACACCTTGCTCTCGACCCGTATCCTGAATTCCTGAACCCTTGTGACTATCCGACATCGTCAGATTCCGAATCTGATCCCGAACTTGATCTTGAAGGAAACCGCCAGGCACGCCGCCGACGCGGCTTGCCGCGACCCCGGTTCATGGATTCCCTTCGACAATCACATGATATTAATTCGACTATGAGCAGCCAACCGCCGATTCCTACTATCTCATTAGCTTTCTCTGACCCGTCTACGGATCCTGAATTCCGTCAAATGCAGAGTATCATAAGCCGGTTCGCTAACGGAGATGTTCCGGATCATATGTGGGTCGCTGCCGGGTTGCCTCTGCCTCCCGGTGTCGGTTCAAGACTCGGCCGGGGGGATGAGGCACGCGATTCTGACAGTGTGGATGGTGCACGCCGTCGGGGTAATATGTGATTTGGCCAATTTCTGTCGATATATTCTTTGGCTTTGGCATGTTGTTCTTTCTTGCTTTCTGGCATTGACTGGAAACGGGTTATATTTTGACCGGATGGTTTACAGCGGGATAGATACGCGATACCAGGGGTATGGCGGCGTTATGGTGTGGTCCATTCTAGGGAATTTGCATCTGTGGGCAAAAGATCGTTGGCTTTGATATGGGTGTGGTTTATTTCTATGAATATGTTTCACGCAGGCTTCTTAGCCTTTTATACATTGATGGTTAGCTGCGGGATCAGCATTTGCACCGGTTGCATTACTTTTATGTTTGCATTTTTAGGATACCAGGTTAATCATTCTGTTTTTGATTTTTTTTTTTTTTTTTTCTTCCCTTTTTCACCGTTATTGCAAATCTGAATGGCTGGTATATAATAGAAGACTGTATGTAAATGAGGAAACAAGCCATGTCCGGAGCAATGGAAGACATCGTCCGTCTCTACTCCGTATACAAGTACATAGTTATCGGAAGAGTCATGTCCGGAACTTACAGTGACGTATGCCGGAGAACGCTGTCCGTCGCAAAACCCCACTCCGACAAGCGCCCCGCTCCATTGCCGTATCGCGATTATTTATTGCTATCGGGGAACCTCTGATTCCATTGTTACAATTCGCTTCTTGTCGTTGTCTTCTCGTTGTTAGTATGTTATTGCTGTGCTGTTGAGTGACATCGGTTGATTGTCTATCGGAGAATTAGCCTTTCATTTTGCTTATCTGGGCTGCAGCAAAGCTTCATTTCTTGCAGGAGATACCCACTAAGGACTTGGTGCATTTTCTTTTCTTCTCTTTTTCTCCCCCCTCTCACTTTTTTCTCAATTTCTAAGCATCGAATACGATTTTAACTATGGAACAACAACTAGACAGACTTCTCGAGAAATCCTGGGGTAAGCTCTGATCCTGGCACACTTTGACCTCGATTGGACAGACCAAAGCTAACTGCTTTTTTCCTCTAGCAAAACTACGCACCACCCCTGATACATCCCGGTTAATGATCGCAGTCAGCGGTATTCCAGGCTCAGGTAAAACCGGCCTCGCCAGCATGTTGGCCAACCGCATCAACCAACTCTACTCCGCCGAAAACCCAGGGTCACCACTTATCGCCACAGCCATTCCAATGGACGGGTATCACTTGACACGAGCACAACTGGCGCAGATGCCAGATCCCGCATTCGCCACAGCTCGACGGGGTGCCGCTTTCACATTTGACGGGGAGAAATTTTTGAGGCTGGTCCAAGCTCTCCGGCAACCGCTGACCGCGGCGAGTCAGAACTTATATGCGCCGAGTTTCGATCATGCTGTGAAGGATCCGGTGGAGAATGATATCGTGATTCCGCCTACGAGTAGGGCGATTTTCTTTGAGGGGAATTATCTCAGTTTGGATAAGGAGCCGTGGAATGAGGCTGCGAAGCTCATGGATGAACTATGGTTTGTGGATGTGGACTTTGAGACGGCGAGGAAGCGTTTGATTCGGAGACATGTGCAGGCGGGTATAGCGAAGGACGAGGCCGATGCTGATAGGCGGGCGAGAGAGAATGATCTGGTCAACGGTAAAGAGATTGTGGATTGTCGGATGCAAGTGCAGGAAATCATTGCCAGCCATTATGATCCCAGGTGGGACACGTGAGAGATCTACTACCCCCGGTGCATTGGAATTGAGTTTCGTCTAGGCAAGTTCCAGGTCCTCCTTTACCAAGATCTTGTGTACGCTATGTATATATTTAGTTGCAGACCAATACGACTATGTATTTTCTACTTGTAGAGAATAAGTCTAATTTAGCTACGGCTAATAATAGAAGACAATACGGAGGTCGGAGAATATCGCCACACATGAAAAACACTGTACAGAGTGCCAGGGGTAGAACTTCTGAGACTGGGTCATTTCCCTTACTCTGCATTGTACTCTTATGCCCTGGTCCTTCATATTTTACCTGTGTGTAATAATATGTTGCACCGATAATTTGTACCGAAAAGGGCGTGTTATTGCGGGAAATTGGATGCCCGGAAGCGGAAAAACTCATGATCCATCAATCTCCGGAATCTCCACCAACGAGTCCCTGGGTTTAACTATTCCATTTCAGGACAAGCGGTACCGAGCATCCTGCGTATTGTAACAAAGGATCAGCAGGGTTTCTACCTGATTGGGTGAGACAGCCCTCCACCTGATTTCACCTGTAAATCCAACTGAGATTTCCTATTGATCGTTTGCCTTATCAACTGGTCCCCTACCACTGTCCCCTTCGTTGGCCGACACATTCTTTCGTTTACTCTCCAATCTACCACGCTCCTTATACTCAAAATTCTTGTATAGTCACTCTTTTATACTTCTGTTTCTCGTTCCTTTCGTTACCCCTAATCGATTCCTCGAGATTGCGCCCCTTAAAGCAAACAACAAACTCGATCAACCACCCGACGTCCATACGACATTATGTTCTTCACCAAGTCCGCCGTTGTATTCTCCGTCCTTGCGCTTTGCAATGTAGCAGTTGCCGCTCAGCCGCCTGCTTGTTTACTTGCCGTCGTGGGGTATGTGTGGTTGCGACATTCCATCGGATAACGGAGAGTTCGGAAAGATCTTGGACTGACGGTATATAGCGACGAGCCGAACCCCGCAGACTTGAAGACCATTTGCGTCAAGAATGGAGATAAGATTCAAAAATTGATTTCGAAGAAGTGCGACGATGACAAAAAGGATGCTTTGTCGCACTTTTCCGACACCTGCTCTTCCAACGGATACAAAGTCGGTACGTTATTTAGACTGTATAGCATCATTGACGGAGTTCGAGCTTGAAATGGCTAACACTGCCTAGATGTCAGCACCTCAACCACCGTGTCCGGATCTACTACCACCGCGACATCCGGTTCTCAATCGACCAAGACTGGCTTTACCACCGCTACCGCGACTTCTGGCTCTAGCTCCTCAAGCACCTCTAGCTCCTCCGACTCGGCTTCTAGCTCCGCATCCGCTGACACCACGGTCTCTGCGGGTGCGTCTGATAGACATGTTTCCGCGGCGGCTTTCGCGGCCGTTGTCTTTGTTGGTTTCGCGGCTACCATGTGATGGTTTTGATTAATTGTTGTATGGAGTAACACTTTGATTTTCTCCGATTTCAGCCTCGGGATTTGTATCTTGAATTATACCCAAGCTGCTTTTCGTTCGTTTCCTCTTCGCTTCGTTCATATAGTACTGTCAACCGCTATAGTGCAGATCAGAAGGCCCACAAAAAGTTTTCGCGGCAGGATGTTGGTGACGCGCAGGTTGTAGATAGCCAAAGTATGAAACTTGCGCGCTTGTCCTACCCGGGCCTCGCTGGTAATTTGTACTCTTCTGGCTCTTTTGGACTACGCAAGCCTTCTCCATTCATTGCAACTCATTACCTGCTCTGGAATATCTGATCCGCCTGAAAATCCACCATAAGCTGATGTCCCATCCGAGGACCGCCGGTCACGTGAGGACGTAGCGCGCGTTGCCACCAACCAGACATTCGGCCCAGACACGAAAGGTCGCGTCAGCCCACGCGTTAGCCCCAGCATCAAAAGAGCCCCTCCGACTTTCTTTTTTCTTCTTCCTATATCTTCCTCTTCCTCTTTTCTCCTTTCGTCAGTTCTCTCACCATTGCTTGTGCTCTTCTATACTAATATCTTGAAAATCATACAATAATAATTCTTCCTTATACCCTTTTCTTCATATAGTTTTGTTCCCTCACCGACGTTTCTTCCGAGCTCACCTCGTCGCTTTTCATAATGTTTGTCTACAAGAGAGGTAAGAATAGAGTCTTTCCAGCTATTCGAGATCGGAATTTGGAGATAAGATTGTGATCTTGAGGATCTTCGTGACACACCACCTCTGTCGACTTTTGGGCTAACACAACCGAATTTTTTACAGACGGACGCAAAGAGCGCGTACAATTCGACAAGATCACTGCGCGTGTCTCTAGACTTTGTTACGGCCTTGACCCCGAGCATGTCGATGCTGCTGCTATCACACAAAAGGTCATTTCTGGTGTCTACCAGGGTGTTGGTACCGTTGAACTGGACAACTTGGTATGTATCCCTTGCGGGGAAGGAAGTCGAGTCTAGAGAGGGATCGAATGCTAACACTTCACCGTTATAATAGGCTGCCGAGACTGCGGCATACATGACTGTGACACATCCTGACTATGCCATCCTTGCTGCCCGTATCGCCGTTTCGAACCTCCACAAGCAGACCAAGAAGCAGTTCTCCCTGGTCATTCAAGATCTCTACCACTATGTGAACCCAAGGAACAATGTCGCAGCACCAATGATATCGAAAGAGACATACGAGATTGTCATGAAACATGCGGATGAGCTTAACTCTGCTATCGTGTACGACCGTGATTTCAATTACAACTTCTTCGGTTTCAAGACCCTTGAGCGGTCGTACCTGCTGCGGATTAATGGAAAGGTTGCTGAGCGTCCTCAGCACCTGCTGATGCGGGTTTCTGTGGGAATTCACGGCAATGACATCGAGAAGGCGATTGAGACCTACCACTTGATGTCCCAGAAATACTTCACTCATGCCTCCCCCACCCTGTTCAACGCTGGTACCCCGCAGCCCCAGCTGGCCTCGTGCTTCCTTGTCGACATGAAGGCAGACAGCATTGAGGGTATCTATGACACCCTGAAGACCTGTGCTATGATCTCCAAGACCGCCGGTGGTATTGGTCTCAACGTCCACTGCATCCGTTCGACAGGCTCCTACATTGGCGGAACCAACGGTACCTCCAACGGTCTCATCCCTATGCTCCGCGTTTACAACAACACTGCTAGATACGTCGACCAGGGAGGCAACAAGCGTCCCGGTGCTTTTGCTATTTACCTTGAGCCCTGGCACGCGGATGTCTTTGAGTTTTTAGACCTTCGCAAGAACCACGGTAAGGAGGAGGTCAGAGCCCGTGATCTGTTCTACGCTCTGTGGACACCCGACCTATTCATGAAACGTGTTGAGTCCAACGGTGACTGGACTCTTTTCTGCCCTAACGAGGCTCCTGGCTTGGCCGACGTGTACGGTGACGAGTTTGAGGCTCTCTACGAGAAGTAAGTTTCCTGACATGTATAAATCAAGATACTTGCTAATGCGGATATAGGTATGAAAAGGAAGGCCGTGGCCGCCGGACCGTCAAGGCTCAGAAGCTTTGGTACGCCATTCTTGAGGCCCAGACCGAGACCGGCAACCCATTTATGTTGTACAAGGATGCCTGCAACCGGAAGAGCAACCAGAAGAACCTGGGAACCATCCGCAGCTCCAACCTCTGCACTGAGATCGTTGAGTACAGTGCTCCCGATGAGGTTGCTGTTTGCAACTTGGCTTCGCTTGCCCTTCCTACTTTCGTCGACGCTGCTCGTGGCGAATACGACTTTGGCAAGCTTCACGAAGTCGTGCAGGTTCTGGTTCGCAACCTGAACCAGATCATCGACATCAACTACTACCCCGTTCCTGAGGCCAAGAAGAGCAACATGCGCCACCGCCCTATTGCTCTCGGTGTCAACGGTCTTGCCGACGCTTTCCTTGCTCTGCGTCTGCCTTTCGACTCGGCCGAGGCCAAACAGCTGAATATTCAGATCTTCGAAACCATTTACCACGGTGCTTTAACCGCCTCTTCCGACATGGCTAAGGTACACGGTACCTATGAGACCTATGAGGGCTCTCCCGTCTCTCAGGGTATCCTCCAGTACGACATGTGGGACCGCACCCCCACCGACCTCTGGGACTGGGACACGCTGAAGGGCAAGATCGCGCAGACTGGTGTTCGCAACAGTTTGCTGGTGGCCCCTATGCCCACTGCCAGTACCAGTCAAATTCTGGGCTTTAACGAGTGCTTCGAGCCGTACACGTCGAATATCTACTCCCGCCGTGTGCTAGCTGGTGAGTTCCAGGTCGTCAACCCCTGGTTGCTCAAGGACCTGGTCGACCTTGGTCTCTGGTCGGACAACATGAAGAACCGTATCATCGCCGATGGTGGTTCCGTCCAGAACATCCCTAACATCCCTGCCGACATCAAGGCCCTGTACAAGACCGTGTGGGAGATTTCTCAGCGGTCGATCCTGCAGATGGCTGCCGACCGTGGTGCCTACATCGACCAGTCCCAGTCTCTCAACATCCACATGAAGGAGCCCACCATGGGCAAGATTACCAGTATGCACTTTGCTGGCTGGAAGATGGGATTGAAGACTGGCATGTACTACCTGCGTACAATGGCCGCCTCCGCTCCAATTCAGTTCACTGTCGACCAGGAGCAGCTCCAGGTTGCTGATACCAACGTCGCTCGTGAAACCAGTGCATACAAGAAGCGCGTTGGTGGCGGGGCATCCAGTGCTTCCTCGGCTGTTCCTCGCGAGGAGAACGGACATGCTGAGCAAGAAGCTCCTCGCACGACTGCTGAGGCCCCGGCTGCCCCCAACGGCGGTGAGGCAGAGCAAGGTTCGCAAGATAACGGCGAGCAAGAGACCGGGGACATTTTCTCGGAGCAGGTGCTCCAGTGCAGCATTGAAAATAAGGATGCGTGCATAATGTGCCAGGGTTAGATGTTTTTTATGTTAGATTTGATTTTGGTTTTATAGGCGCTTAAGGCGTCATGTTATATCGGACCGGATGTCATATGTTGTTATTGACGCGTTATTCTTATGGACTTATGTTTATGATTTCACTTGGTTATGTCTGATGGTTATGCATGTATTTATCCATAAAAAATGCACTGTTCATCGATGATACCCTGGTAAATAGTCAGCATCCTGACGTATCCAGCGCAATGGTCCGTGGGCCAGACCCGTCGATGCTCATTTCTTTTCCGCAGTTGGTAACTGACTCGGGGAATAAACAGATTGCTGCCTGCATACTAGTATGTACTTGTAGTCTGGACACGTCAGTCATGTACCTGTAGTATTCCAGTGCATGAATTGACAGGTAGAATAAGTACCTACTTACACGGGGTACAGAGTAAAAAGAGTTAAAATTGAGCACACAAAATTAGCCTCCTATCCGCCCGCCAATCGCAATACACTCCATGCTCATCCGAGTATTCCACCCGAGCCGTTTCCCATCCCCCTGAGTTTGTACCAAGAAAAGAAAGACAGGTAGTAAGACAAGCTCAACACCAGCCCAAAAGTGAGACACCGGCGCCGATCCGGTGGCCAATCAGGAGGTATCCGGCTTTCTACTTGTACATAGTATGTACTTGTCAAAGAATTCCGATGTTTACATTGCATTTCGTATCGGTTTCTTGGTTTGACGTGTCATCTAGGTGTGCATATGTACTTGTAGAGTTCTTGCATAGGCACCCCGCGGATGAGTACCCCTGTACAGGTACAAAGAAGTTCATCACCGAGACCCGGTTCAGTATTAGTGGTCAACGGCTGTGGCTGAGGTGGACCCGGAGGTTCCGGTCCATGGATTACTAGTATAACTAACCCTATCTGGAGAAGGGCACTAAAATTACCGGAAAAGACAGTCTATGGGGATGTGCGTTTAAATATCCGCTCTTTCATCTCACTTTCTTTTCTTTCTTTATCAAGCAGTCTCTCTTTGACATCCGTCGTTTTTTTCCCTTTGCATCTTCGTTGAGTTTACACTGCTGTGCAGTAACTCTGTCCTTCATTTGAATCTCGATCTCTACAAGTACATACAAGTACATCTCACTCTTTTCAATCCACAAACATACTGCCAAGTATAAATAAACAACAAAATGGCCCCCATCTTCAAGTCCCTTTTCCTCCTCGGCACCCTCGCCGCTACCTCCCTCGCCGCCCCCCTCCAAACCACCACCAACCAAAAGCGCGCCGCTAGCTCCTGCACCAAGGACGCCCCCTGCAACGGCCAAGTTACCTTCTACGATACCGCAACCTCCGCGTCTGCCCCAAGTAGCTGTGGCTTCACCAACGATGGCGAGACCGAGTCTGTTCTCGCGCTCCCGCACGGCATCATGACGGACGAAGACTGCGGCAAGACCGTGACTGTCAAGTATGGTGGCATTACCAAGACTGGTAAGGCGGTGGACAAGTGTATGGGATGCGACGATACCTCGATTGATCTGTCGCGGCACTTCTTTACGGAGTTGGCAGCGTTGCTGGAGGGGAGACTTTTTGGGGTTGAGTGGTATATGGAGTAAGCATTGATCGCTTTAGCTTTGGGGTATATTGGGGTTTTTATATATATCTATTCTATTGTCATTCTTTTGATCCTTAAGGGTTATCTTCGTGTCTATACCATTCTTTCGCTAAATGTTTATTACTGCTCACTATGCACTATGAATACCCCGTAATTATCCCGAGGATATGCCCGGACACTGCCACACGAGTCGTGTACATGGTAGTATGCCCCGTAGCTAGCGGAATAATGCAAGTCACCACCAAAGTAGCAATGATACACGTGAGCTGCAGGTGTTCAATAGTGCTGGGTAATCTCTCCAAAATAGCCTCACTAAGAAATAGACTGATTTTTTAGATCATGTGACCCTCCGCCGGACAGCGTCCGTCCACCGCCAGAAATCTCCAACCAACGAAATCCTCTCAATTTGAGCGTTTCTGGGGATCTCCAATAGATTCTGTACCACGATTTACCGCTTCAGCTCGCGATTTTCAGAGCTTTCGCTAAGCTTTACTTGTTTTTTTTTGTCGCTTGCTGTCGGTGCATATATTATATAAAAGATATAAGAGTCCCGGACTCCCGCATGCGACTCCGCTGTCTTTACCTGTCAGCGGCTCTGATCTCCGTTATTTTGATGTCGACTTTACGGAGCTACACCTTCAATTAATCAGATTATTCTTGATCTTTGATTGCATTTACTCCATTCAGGGTTTATATCTCAGATCTATTCCCGTCCGGAGTGCGAACCCCTACACGATGGGTTCTTTTCGCACTCGAACAATGCAATCGATCTCACGGAACCTCTCTTAGACAATCGCTTTGTTCTTCTTCCTGATTTCTTGAATCTATCTGGCTGCAGCAGCCAGGTGCGACGGCAAAATGGATGACCGCAGGCCCGAGGTGCTGGTCGTGTCGATTATCTTCTTCGTCATCGCGACCGTTTTTGTCGTGTTTCGCTTCATATCGAGGATTTTTGTCGTGCGCAAGGTTGGGATTCATGATTATTTTATGCTCTTGGCTTGGGTATGCATTCTACTAGTGCGATTAAACGGACCCTGTTAATTCCGCAGTTTATCGACTTCGGCTTCTCCTTTTCGCTGTTCTATGCGACGCACAAAGGCCTCGGGTTGCACGACTATGATATCAATCCCCACGATCGAGCCAGTCTGAATCAGGCCAATTATGTCTTTACCGTGCTTTACGTGAGTACTTCAATCAAAGGAAAGCAAACGAAGAAACTGAGAAGTAGAATCCCGCCCTGATGGCCGTTAAAACATCTATCCTCGTCTTCTACCTGACCCTGACCAAAGGCGAATTGGTCTACCGCTGGGCAAACTACGTGACTCTCTTCGTCGTCAACGCTGCCGGACTGGCCCTGACCCTCGTCAACGTCTTCCAATGCCATCCAGTCGGCGCTGCCGTGTCGTACCCGTTACCGCCGAATGCGCAATGCACCGACATCGTCACCCTGTATCTCTGCTCGTCGCCGGTGAATATCATTACCGATCTGGCAATTCTGTTGCTCCCCATGCCTATCTTGACGAAGATGCGTTTGCCGCGGAAACAGAAAATTATTCTGGTTGTCACGTTTAGTTTTGGTTTCTTTGTCGCGGTTGTGGATGTCATTCGCATTGCGTATTTGCAGAATGCGGCGACGTCGCGGCAGATTGCGCTGCAGGAATTGCATCTTCAGGATTCAGATAATGGTGATGATCTTAGCTGTATGTCCTTCCCCTTCGTCTCCCTGGGTAGCTGCTAAGTGTGTAGGGTACGCGTCGTTGTCCTTTATGTGGTCTGTCATCGAAGTCAACGTGTCAATTATGTGCGCATGCGTCCCGAGCCTGAAACCGCTGGTCGCGCGTATTATTCCCAAGCTCATCAGGGATACCGATGAAGGCTCGTGCAACACTGCCGATGGCCGATTCCCTGGTTCTTTCGATTTGCCGAATGGCATGCCCCCGATGGCACAAGGAGCAATCGACACTTCGCAGGAGAACAACGGCAACAAAACATCGCAATCGGCAAGTCAAAGCAGCGAAATCGATCCCCAGAGAAACACAAGCGCCTCCCCAATCGATATGGTGGAATTCCTAAGTACACCCAATATAGCGGCTCCTCAAGACGTGGAAGCCAATACAACCCTAACGAGCACATCTTATATGGGCAGCATTACGTTTTTCGACTTTGTTAATATGAAGAAACCGACGAGTATGCTTAAGTTGAATAACAAGGAATCCATCGCCCCGATCGCGCTTACTACGATTCTATTTTTCCTATGGGGATTCGCATACGGCCTGCTGGATACGTTGAACATGCAATTCCAGGAAATTGTCCAGCTTGATGCATGGCGCTCACTAGCGCTGTACGCCGTCTACTTTGGCGGATACCTAATCGGTCCACTATTCATCGGCGGAACGGTCCTTAAACGCTGGGGCTTCAAATCAACCTTCATCACGGGCCTGTGCATCTACGCCTGCGGAACTCTCATCTTCTGGCCCTCGGCCGTGCTCTCCTCCTACGCCGCCTTCGCCGTTTCCAACTTCATCGTAGGCGTCGGCCTCGCGGTCCTCGAAACCGCCGCTAACCCTTTCATCGCGCTCTGCGGACCGCTCGAAAACTCCGAAGTCCGCCTCAACATCTCCCAAGGTGTACAAGCAATCGGCAGCGTGATCTCCCCGCTGCTCGCCAAAAAAGTCCTTTTCAAAAGCGTCACCGACGTTTCTTCCTTGGTTGACGTGCAATGGACATACCTCGGCATCGCCCTCTTCGACGTCCTCCTCGCTGTAGCCTTCTACTATCTCCCCGTTCCCGAAGCTTCGGACGAAGAATTAGAAGAGCTAGCCAACCACCGCCGCGACGACAACATGACCAAACTCTTCGGCATCCCTGTCGTCTGGCTCACACTGGGCCTAGGCATTTTCTCCATGTTCTTCTACGTCGCCGCCCAGGAAGTCCTCTCAAAAAGTTTCGAAGCATATGTCAAACACTCAAATTCCCCGCTTTCAGCGTTCGACTCGTTAACCCTGGGCCGCGCACTCTTCGCTATAGGCCGCTTCCTCGCAGCCCTGCTGCAACTCTTCCTCAAACCCCGCTGGATTCTTCTCCTTTCCTACCTAGGCATGATCATCTTCAGCATCCTAGCGATGAAAATACAACACAACGGCCCGGCCTCCCTAGCCATGGGCCTACTAATCTACTTATTCGAATCCGGCGCCTTCAGCATAATCTTCTCCATCGCCCTCCGCGGCACAGCTCGACATACCAAATCCGCCGCCGTTGCGCTAACAGTCGCCATCTGCGCAGGCGGGATATTCACTTTCGCCCAACACGCAGCTCGACTGTCCTCCTATGACAACGACGCAAATGGCGGGTTTGACTCGTACGGTATATTAGTGGCACTATATGCCATTGGCGCAGTCTTCCCCGTGTATCTGAATTTCTTCGGCGCCGTAAAGAAACAAGTCGACCCTGTTCCTGGGGAGTATCTTCGCCGCCCGAGAAGACGGAGTAGGGCGTTGCCGCCGACGCCGGAGTTGGGGCCTATGTCGGGGGTGGAGGGGGTGCTGGCGGAGGTGCCAGTTGATGGGACGAGATAATCTTTTTTTTTTCTTTTTTTTTTTTTCGACTTTGGCTATGGTTATGCTACCAAGCTATGGAGTGGTTGGGTTGAGTATGATGGTTTGAATTGACATGACGAATGATATGATATGATGATATGACAGTATATAGTGGTTTGATTTATTTCTAATATCCCGGCGGTTGTGATGCATATACCCCTTCTTTGTTGGTTTTATTAGTTAAAGCATATATATTCGCATAATACATGTACATAGCTCAGTTTTTGGAATTGCTTTGAATTGATCCTGATTAGAAAATTTCTTGAAGTAACCCAAAGTACACATTCCAATTAATGAAGTTACACTCATTCCACAACTAATGTCACCTCAGAAAGTCTCATTATCTTGGCCGTCAGTCACTCTGGAGCGGGATAAGACTACATATTGCTAACTGAAGAGCAGGCATTACAATTATGCGGGATAAAAAAAGATAATTTGGTACTTTTATCATGATTCATTATTCACGATCAACCTATACATAACCAAACCATCCCAGTGCTAATCCGACGCCTCTATGTACAACCCGCTGAATAAAAACACAATGCATAAACTCATAACAGAAATCAAATGGTATCATAAGTGGTATCAGTTTACCACCAGTCACCCTGGTCGTGCATGGCAGCAGCGACCTTGCTGAAACCAGCAATGTTGGAACCGGCGACGAGCGAAGGCAGGTTGCCCTCGGCGGGAGTGCAGTACTCCTTGGCGGTCTCGAGACCGTTCTGGAAGCAGGCGGCCATGATGTCCTTGAGACGGGCGTCGACCTCCTCGCTGGTCCAGCTGAGACGGGCAGAATTCTGGGCCATTTCAAGACCAGAGACGGCGACACCACCAGCATTGGCGGCCTTTCCGGGGGCGTACCAAATGGCCTGGGCGCCCTTGTTGGCGTTACGGTGAGCCTCGAAGACGTCGATGGCCTCCTGGGTGCAACCCATGTTAGAACCCTCGGCGATGAACTTGGTGCCGACAGCGATGAGGGCCTGAGCCTCCTCGCCGGAGACTTCGTTCTGGGTAGCGGAGGGGAGGGCAACGTCGACCTTGCCGACGTGGGTCCAGGGACGGGCGCCGGGGATGTACTTGAACTTCTTGGAGAACTTGTCGCTGGTGGCGATGGAAGAGAGCTGCTTGCGTTCGACCTTGAGGTCGGCAATCAGGTTGATTTCCTCGGGGGTGAAAGAACCCTCCTGCTCGGTGAGGACGAGCGAACCCTGGGAGTCGGAGAGCGAAGCCACGGAACCGCCAAGCTCGATGATCTTGAGAGCGGCGTACTGAGCAACGTTACCAGATCCGGAGAGGGCAACACGCTTGCCGGCGAAGGACTCCTTGCCGTTCGAGACGTATTTAATCATGTGCTCAACGTACTAAAAAATTCCCAATTAGTCTCTTTGCCACACAAAATTGCTTGGCAGATGAAAAACTTACGTAAACGACACCGTAACCAGTGGCCTCGGGGCGGATCAGAGAACCACCCCAGCTGCCGCCCTTGCCGGTGAGGACACCCTCCCACTGGTTGCGAATCTTCCGGTATTGTCCGAACATGAAACCAACCTCACGACCGGTAACACCAATGTCACCAGCGGGAACGTCGGTGTCGGCGCCAATGTGCTTGGAAAGTTCGGTCATGAAGGCAACACAGAAGCGGCGAATTTCGTTGTCGGACTTGTTCTTGGGGTCAAAGTCGGAACCACCCTTACCACCACCCATGCTCAGACCGGTGAGAGCATTCTTGAAGATCTGCTCGAAACCCAGGAACTTGAGGATGGAGAGGTTGACGGTAGGGTGGAAACGGAGACCACCCTTGTAGGGACCGAGAGCCGAGTTGAATTGCACACGGTAGCCACGGTTGATCTGGGGCTGGTGGTTGTCATCCTCCCAAACGACACGGAACTGGATGATACGCTCGGGGACGGAGACGATGGCGAGAGCCTTGCGGTAGTCGGGGTTCTTTTCGAAGAGGGAGGAGTTCTCAAGAGTCGAGACAAGCTCTGTCGATAGGGAGTCAGTAACTCTAACGTTGTAGTAGTCTTATAAGATATAAGTGCATACCGTTGTAGGCCTGCTCGAACTCGGGCTCGTGAGGAAGGTTAGACATGGCGGTGTTATCTGGTATCTAGGGGAGATAGATAGAAAATGGATAGATAGATAGGATGGGATGAAAGAGAGAGATCAAGAGGAGAGAGAAGGGATTTATATTTGCCTCTCTCCCCGCCTTCATCCGCGGAGAGAGGAATTGGTACATGGTGCTCCCTCCCCCGGCCGGCGTCGGAACCCCCCGCCGACGGAAAGCCGCTGATAAAAAAATCCCGGCAGTTTCTCTCGTTCAATTCCATCGTGCAATCCTTACTGCGCCCGGCCAATCAGCAGTCAGGGATTGTAGAGCGCCGCGGGCGGTGAGAGATTCCGGGACAGGTCCGAAATTCGGGGCGGGCTTGGAGTTATCAGAATGATTCTGGTCACAGTTTGCTTTATCTTTACAGCGGATATCGCCCCGAGAATCCCCGCCCTGTCGACGAGTATTTCTCGGAAGGGGTGGCGTTTTCGTCTCGGTGAGAGTACGTGTTATGCCAATGCTACTCTGCACTCTGCACTCTGCACTATTACTTGGCACTCTGATACTACTTTCCTACTGTATGGAGTAGAGAATATCATAACTATTACTCTTGCGTTATTCAATTCAATATGTAAGGCACTCGCTATAACACGTGAGAACTATCCCCAATTAGGTCAACAGACCCGCTGTTCCTGGGGCCCCACGTGCTTGATCACGCTTATCTGGTACTTGTCTCGGACGAGTGCCTACTATGTTAATGGTAGTCTACAAGTGCATTGGCCTACTCCGGAGTACATGGCATGATAAGTCAACGAGTAGGATGTCTGTATAATCTCTGTACTAAACACCATTAGCAATCTGAATATCACAAAAGCAATATTATCACGGCCAAATGGACATTAATCCAGATATTACCAACCACTACCGTTGATCACTGATAAGGACGAAGATCAAAGGAGGGGTAGAGCGGGGATCATGCCATTCTACTTATCATTTCTTTTTCTGGAATCCGGAGTACGAGTACTGTTCCTGCCCGGATCCTGTATCAAGTGATGCCGACACCCCACGGGTTGGAGCACGGACATACAAGAAGAACCCGAGACTTGGAGACTGGGGAAACTCAGGTTGAAGACTACTCCGAAGTACGGATACTCTGACGAGAACGGATGCCAAGCTCAATGATGATGACAGGGTATGATGTTAAGTATTCGTACTCACGTCGATCATAGTTTATTTGAACAGTCTTTGCACTTACTCCGTACAACAGGATTATGCACTGACCTCGTCCAACCAGCATCGCTCATATCCCCGCGTGTCCTTTGTCCAGCACGGATACTTATAGGACTTACAGGAACTCAGTCGAGAATCGGTCCCGCATCATATGAACTCGACATGTCCGTGCAAATGGAAGTTATTGCCAAGCGCCTGCTAATGCATTTCGTTCCCGGTGCTCGGGTGCCGTATTATAGACCCTGGGGATTGCATACTGCTGGGTGTATGGGGTACATTGAGTTGCATGGCTAGCATAGTCGGGTTGGTTCTACTATTGCATACACAAGACTGGCTATTCGGCTAGGTAGCAATTGGGTATGCATCCTGTAAAAAGAATGTCTTAATGTTAGCACGGTAGACCAAGGTGGGCAAAAGTATAGGATGCAACCCAGGTCCGAATAATACTCCGCGTGAGCCCGACCCGGCCCCGTCAGGAATACTTTCCCTAACAGGAATACCTGAAGCTATACGAGTACATCCGCAATGACTACTCTGCAGGCCGTGCGAGACCCGGCCAGACCGTCTCGTTGTGGACTTCGGTTCACCATTTCCGTTTTCAATTGACCTGTACCGATAACTATCTAACGAATGCTACCAATTTCAAAAACCTTAAACTAACCGCACTCCAGTTCATACTATGAGTACTTTGTACTCGTACAAGTATTCTACGGAACAAATAGGGAATATCTCACCCGAAATAAACCAATCATCCTCAGCTCTGCAGTTCAAATCCCGGTGGCAACAATTCTCAATTCCCACATTCTCTCAGGGCATATGCAATGCTCCATGCCGGCGTAAGCTAATTCAGAACCAGCCCGCAGTGGCGAGTGATTATCCTCGAATAACTCAGTAGGGTAAGTCCTCCGTGGCGCAAACGAGGCTAGTGAAAATAGTGGCTTGTCGATTACGAGCCACTGTGGCGGTATGTGGCTGAGTGCAGATCGCACGATGCTAGGCTCTAGGATTTAAAATAGGGTTTCGTACTCCGTAATCCGTAGTACAGGACTACTAACAGCGGTAGGAATTGCACTTGCACTCGTGGTAAAAGGTCATGTGCGGATGCCATGTAAACTCAAAGACGGTGAAGAATGAATTCCAGGAATTCCTTAGGCCCAGCATATGCATCTGCAGCCGAGGACCAATAAGACCACCGCATCATACAACAATACAGTAGCGAAGTAGATATATGCGCCTTGGACTGCGCGTTGTAAGCTCTGCCACCGTCATTGCAGACAATACGAGGTTAGCGCCTCGGTTAGATGCGTTCTGGACGAATCATTCGCGGCGGGATTAGAGACGTTTCGGGTGGGAATGCATGTGACCTGCATTTGGCATTGACGTCGGGGATTGTACAGATATTGCGTTGCTTTTATTTATATGGAGTACGGAGGTGACTGGACACCATATGCTCACCGCATCTTGAAGTATTGTTCTATTTTGATTATACCGGTATGGTTGACTGGCTGTCGTTCGCAGTTATGGTGGTGCAAGTAGTATAGCAGGTGTGGTGCATATGGAGCACCAACACACAACACACATAGTGACATGTGGCGATTCCACTTAATCGCAAATATCCAACAAGTCGAAATTGTCGAATTCTATGCTATGGGTACTCTGTACGGAGCACTCGGAGAGCACTTGACAGTTGAGCAACAATGTCCACTCGCATGCAATCAGAATAAAGATGCCCTATAATATTCTCTGTTATAGCCGCCGTCGAGTCAGATCTAAAGATGGCGATCTGTGATTGGATACACGGAGATTAGTTTCTTTTTTTCCCTTTCTGTACTGTGGACCTGTTGGACGGTGGACTCGGTGTCTTCTACGACGTATTCGGGTTTTGAGAGGGGTATGATTGTGCTACGTTCGTCTAACCAAGCCAGGAATCAGTGGTGCATATACAAAGACAACTCAATTGCTGTGCAGGATTTTCCGTTCTTAATGACACCGCCTGTTATATTAAGTGAGAGTACAGTAAGCAAGCCAGGTGTGAATACCGTCTTTTATTTAGAAGAGCATAAAGTAAAAAGATCTAGCGGGGGATCCGATCGGATGAGACGATCGGAAATCATAGTGAAAGTGTAATATTAAAAGAACACAAACACACACAGGAAAAGAGTGGAAAAAGGCAAAAAAGGGTAAAAAGTGGTAAAAGACCCGAATGGAGAACGTCCTCCGTGGGGGAAATGGGCTGGACCGGCCAATCAGGGAGGTGATTCTGACGCGACTCATCTCAGTCGAAACAATACGGTATCAGAGGATGTATAGAGATTTATAGTCTCTACAGGATAAGAACAAGTATATGTTAGATGCATTCATGAATTGAGCAATAACTTGCATATTCACTGTGTACGTACTAATCTATCACGGATCTCAGACCGGGTAGACCCGTTCCTGCGCGAGTCTAGTCGAATATACAAGTCCACTTCTTTCTTTCTTTTCTTTGAACCCACCAGGCGCGTGCGTTTCCCTGTCTCGTCTCATCTCTCGTCATCTCCCCTACTTTCCTTTTCCTTTTTTCTTTTTATCTTTTCTCTTTTTCTTTCTTCTTCTCTTCTCTTCTTATTGTCATGGTATAACTCAATTGCATAAATCCGAATGTGCTTTTGTTATACTCCTATACCTCCGTACCTGTCATGATCTCGGCTCCCTGTACCATCGCTAGATGACCGCCTTAAACAGATGTCCGTGAACGATCCCAATCCTGGCAGGAGTCTAGGTCTTTCTATAAAGAATCTCTTTCGTCCCTCCTCTCTTGCGCCTTCCTCTCCGTCGCCGCGACGCAGGGTTTCCCTTTTCCGTCGGCGTCGAAGCGTTTTTTCGCAAAAGTAATCCCTACTGTTACGAATGAAGAATAAACCGCAAAGATACTAAGACGTGCCTCGACCAGAACTCCTGATCCTACTCCTGATCCTATCAATCGCCCCTCGTCCGGGACCCCTATGGAACCCAACAACACCCAATTCGACCCAACCACCATGTTTGGGATCTCAGAGGTTTCGCAAGGCAGCTCAGGGGACAGTTTCGACCTTTGTGACTGGTTTCCGCGGTATCAGGATTGCCAACGGTATTTCCTAGACCATGCCCAACACAGTGGCCCCGTCCAGGGTCTCTCTGCGTTTCTGAACATTCGACTCCCCTTCCAACGCCAACCCAATCCCATCTTCAATTCCGCCTCGTCGATCCCTACTCCTCCTCCTGGACAGGTAACCTCTTCCTCGTCGTCTTCGCCTCTACCGCCGTCCGTCTCCCTAATTCCCTACATCAGACGTCTCGTGGCCACAGGAATGGATTTTCCCGGTGTGCTTCAGGGGTTCTTTGGCGATGATTGGGGTTCAGGAATTGGGCCGCTACACGAGCAAGAGCGTCGCAATTATCTATTCGCAGCCAAGAGTGGTGGGTGGGCTGCGGTAAAGAAAGATTACGATATGCCACCGCAAGAGACTATTCCTTTCCTTCGACCGCTCCAGGGGCCGTTGGATCCTGAGATTGAGGCAGCCGAAAGAAGCTGGAGTGAATGGTTGGCTATGGAGGATTGGATGATCGGGCCGCGAGCGCCCGATCTGGACTCGTCTTCTCAGGCATCGCATCGACGGAGTTCTCGGGGGTAGATTTCCTTTTTTTCTCGGGGGAAGTCATTATCTCTATTAATGTGTTCTGTTTCTCTTTTTCTTTTGGGTTATACACAATATATTCAGCATGTCGTTTTACGGTGTTCAGAGCTGTTGATAGCGAGTTTCTTCTGGTTTTTCTTTTCTTTTCTTTTCTTTTTTTTTCTTTTCCTTCTAAAATTGTCTGATCTATTACAGCTCTTGACGGGCGATGCATTGCTACTAAGTCCAAGACTATGATTATTTCCTGTGTCACAAACGCACACTCTGTTCCCCCTTTGGTCGCTCTACCCCCTTTGTTACTTTACAGCAGCCAGGCTGACCCCCGGTGGCGTTAATCTGAACCAAAAGAGTTAGACGAACGATCGGGGCTCCACCGGTTTGTTTCCAAGGACCAGGACCGCAAAGTGGCGCTATCCTATTTAGGCCTGGTGCGGGAAGCATTCCCTTGGATAGCAGTGGAGCTGAGTGGCGGAATCTCCATCCATTCCCGGATACCTTGACGGTTTGGGTAAGGGTAATCATAGGGGGAGAAGTCCCGACAATGTACTACATAAAGCCGGAGTCTCCTACGGAGAGATAACTATCCAGAGCCCAAAGTACGGGGAACTAGATAGTAACTCCCCAGCTAACTTAATTCTCCGGGTTAGTGGTTTTCTGGAGTCTTCGACTGACTCATGAATTGGCCATTTTCAGTAAGGGCTTGTTCCCTACGAGGTATCCAGTTCGGAAAACATGTGGCGGAGCTGAACCAAGATCCACCTTACTTGATTGGGGTTAGTGTTAGATGCGTTCGTCACGGTATGGTTATCTTATTGGTCCGGGTTTTCCTTTGCATATGCTAGCCAGATCAGTAATCACAGTGCAAAGTACGGCCATTGTTGACTATTTGTACAAGTATGTCTTGGTGTACCATGCATAGAGTATATGAACACGAAATACGCGCAAGGATTATGCAGGACCATTCCATTTGACATATCTCAAACGGAAAACTCCGTACCTACAGATATCATGCAGAAACAGTCGGAGAATTAATCTCTGTCAAATCAACTGTCGTCGATCGACGCGTCATCTACCATTTCGTACTTGAATGAATTATGGAGTACTCTGAAAAATGCTCGTACAGAGTACTCTGTACAGACCAACACGGTATTTGTAATTGGACCCTGATCACAAGGGAACCGTGCGAACGGGCGGATCAAGTGTTGATGCAGTGCGCCGAAAGTACAGGCACAACTGAGTAGGGCTGATCATTGACAGATTTGTCCGAGTTTTCATCTGAATAATATTCTTGGTTGAGCGTCGAAGATCGTTATACATGACCTTTTCCTACTTTGTATGACGTCCGAAAGCACGATGTTTAGTTGACAACCAATTTAGATCCATAAATTGAATATGGACACCGGCTCCTTCGATCAGATCTCATGCCGAGGATCATCGAAGAACACAAACGCCCTCGGTAGCAAAGGACGCTAGATCTCTTTTTCCGATAGAGCCAGCCGTCGCTCATTACTTGTTCCATGGGTGAAGGGCGTTGTCCCGATGCTGTTACGTTTATTTTTTGGTCTCGGGTCGGATGCAATTTCAGGGGTAGTGTATGGATATTTTCCGTAAAACTCTTCACGGGACGGAAGATACCAACGGCTCTCGCTACGGAATCGTTGTGCGGATCGGGCCGGTGGAAGTTGATGTATGCACTTGTATGCACTCGAGAATTATGTCGGGTAACTATCGGATTTTTTTAGGGTTGTGGTCGTCCACTGTAGAGAACTTTATCTGATTCTAGGTAAGCCATACAGGGGTATGGAAATCTGCTATGGAATGTGACCTTAGTTCGCTCATTTTCATTCCGGGTTGTCAACTATCGCTGCCTGGTTTCTGCCTTTGTGCTATAACCTCTGCCTTAGTGCCTGGTCGTTATCTTCACGTGATATTACATAATTACACGTGACCACGCGACCAACCATCGTAATAGCTCTTCGCGTTCCGTTATCAACCGCCAGCAACATAGGGCAATGTCCCGATCATTCACTTTCATATAATTAAGACCACCTCATTGAGTGGTAGGAGGTGTGTGAAAATGGTCATCACAACAACGGCGCCATCGCCATCATCCGCCAAACAATGGAAACTTTTCTTCGACCAGTGCCTAAAGCATCGCATAGACGCGAATGAGTTCAAGAATCTATCAAATATACTAGCTGCAAGGTGCTCGGTTTCGGAGTCTGTGTTGGTGGATGTCCTCTGTGACGTGCGCGCGGTGGGCGCCGCCGCGGGTGTCAAGTGGGATCCCTTGGTCCCGGTTTATATAGACTGTCTGTGTAAGACGGAGCGGGTGAAGATTTCATCTGTGCTGGCTGGTTTATTGAAGCGGTCATCTATTTTACTGCAGTCACAGTCACAGATTCAATCATCGGATGAAAGCGACAAATCGAAGCAACGGAAGAAAAATGGCTACACGCTCATGACAGATATCAGAGCCATCCAGGATGTCATGCTGGCTGTTTCAACAGGGAATAACACGCCCCGAACCTCTGCTGAGGCGATAGATATTTTCTCTGCTGCGGTGGATTGGATCCAGGCCGTTGTGTCGTGGCATCAGCAGCATCAGCAGACGGGGGGGTTGATGGGGTCCCCGGATGCGGTGTCGTTGTTTGAGTCGTTGGGGATTCTACTGGCGGCTTTGTCAGGGACAACCAAGGGGGTTGATGTGCTTTCATCTGATCATGAGGGTATTCCATTCCTGTCCTCCTATTCCAGGTTCAATATTAATGCTAATGGACAGGATTGAAAATCAAACTCGGCCAGGCCCTTTCGGCCTATCTCCCTCTCTGCGTTGAGGTGTCTCTTCCCCTCCGGAATCGGCTGGATAGCTTGCAGAAAGAGTTTAGTCTCTACGGAGAGCCGGCGTCCAAGTCGTTGGATATGGCCATGGTGGAGGGGATGAATGTTAACGCGCTTCAATTCGAGGCTTCGGTTATGGATGGGCCTGTGATCAATTCGAGAGCTGGTCTCTACGTTTATATAAATTCTATGCTTGTCGGACGGCCGTTGATTGATGATAATATGCTGCTTAGCTATCTCGTTAATCGTTATGGAGTGCGTATCCATACTCTATGTGTGGATTTAGCTAACGGTTACAGGGTCATTATAAAGCTCTTATTGAGGAGGTTATTACGGCTTCGTTCGATGTGTTGTCAAACGCCATGTACCGCAACGAATCAAACCGCACCATGTTCATATTCCGTTCATTTCTAGTGAATAAACTACCGGCTTTCTTCGCGACCATGCTTGCTGCTTCGATGGTCACCATCCCTATGGAAATCTGCATCAGCAACGCCCTAGGTCGCCTGGATCCGAATACCTTTCCGTCGTTTTCGCAAATGTTCTCCATGCAAGGTAATACGGTCCTATCGGACGTGAGACAGGAGTTTCTGTTCGCCTGCGCGTCTCATAGACTTATCCCTGAGTCTAGCATTGAGCGGTTGCTGGGAGAGAATCCAATGCAAGCGGTCCCGGTTGGTCATGTCAAGGATGACCTTGTTTCGCAGATTTATGCGAACCCGGAACGGGCGGAGCAGTTAATAAATGATATTGAGTCGACGGAGGGGAATGCGAACGCTATTGTGGGTGCGATTACAGAGGTGAATTCATCATGTTTTCCAATTGCTTAACCATGCTAACTTGGCAGGTTATACATCAACTCTGCAACCAAAAAGAAAGCATGACGTTGAAAAATATCTGCATCTCTCTCTCCAGGCGTCCACAGGCACTGGATGTGATTCTGCTCTTCCGCAGCACAAAACAGATCCTCCAACCACTTTGCACACTACTTGATAACTGGCATTGGGATAGCGACCAAGGCGAGAACCAGCCCGTTTACGATGAATTTGGAAGTATCCTACTTCTGATATTGAACTTCAAGTATCGCTACGATCTGAAGCCTTACGAGCTTGGCATCAGCAGCGACGACTCCTTTGTGCTGAAATTACTGGACCGTGGATCATGCAATCAAAAATTGGAGGACCTAACAGAGAAGCAGAATAAGGATCTCGGGGCATGGATCGGGGCTCTATTTATCGCCGAGGGAATCAGCGAGGAGACCATGTCGAATTGCAGTCCGCAAGAGTTTTATCTCCTCGTTACTACACTATTCAGTCAGAGTCTCGGGGCGTGTGAAGCAGGGAAGTTAGAGTTCGAGACCCTGAAAGGCGGGTTCGAATACCTCCTTGAACCATTCTTATTGCCGTCCCTTGTGGTCGCGCTGGGATGGCTCGGAAACCGGATCTGGGAATCAGAAAGCGAGCCGACAATCGCGCTGAAAACTCTGCATTCCCTTGTCAGTCCAACCTCAATCTCCGGCGAAGCGCAAGCCATCCATCAAACAGTCATAAGTATGACGGCGCGCACCCTCGAGGAACAACTCAAAGACGTTCGCGCGCGCCATCCCTCACGAACAGATATCAAGCCCATCCTCGACGCCCTCGAACCGCACCTCTCCTTTCAGAGGACAGGGAGCTGTCATCGCACCGAGTTGGAGAGCTGGAGCCATTCTGGGAACGGTAGCGTGGGAGGTCTTCTGGGTAGTGTTCGCAATACATTCCAGTCGTTGGTTCTTTGGAGCACGAATCCAGAAATCAGCATGGCGCCGCCGTCGTACACGCATCGGCAGGTTGTGGCGGGTGTGAGGATGCTGGGCGCGACAAGGGTCTTGCGGGCGCTAGAAGAGGAATTGAAATTGCAAACCGAAGCAGGGAGCGGGGATCTGGCACTAGATGTCGCTGCGATGATAGTCAGTGCGCCAATGATGGAGTCGTTCACGGCAGACCAGATGCACTACCATCCACCCGAGAACAAGGATCAATCACAGCAGAGCAAACATCAGCAAACAGCGACCAATCTGCGCAGCCCAGTCTTAACCCTCCGCGACGCCCTCAGCATCCGCCACCAAGATGTGCCAAGGATCTCGGAGAAGGACCCGCTACGAGCGGAGATGATCG